AATCAACGTAAATCCCATGCATTTCTACAGATCAATTTTCTAACAAACTGAGCCATACCAAAAAAAAAAAAAAAAAAAAAATATGCTGCAGGAAGATAGTTTTCTATTATATCATATTTAGTAACTTGCAAAATAATACTATTTAGAGATGCATTTGTAGGTAGTTGTTATGTATAGGTCTCATAAACACAAATTTCAGGTTAGATATTACCACACTACCTCTTAGGTAAGGAAGGAGTTGACAACCAGGGATGGCTAGCCAAAGGATTTATTTTGTTTGTTTGTTTGTTTTCCAGTACCGGGAATTGAATGCACGACCTTGCGCTTGCCAGGCAGACGCTGTGCCGCTGAGCTAAATCCCCAGCCCCCAAAGGATTTTAATAATACCTGTAATGTTTTACTTTTCAAGCTAAGTGGTGGGTACAGAGAAATCAAGTATATTCTTCCCTACAACTGAATATTGCATTAAAAAAGAAACTGCATCTAACATCAAAATAAATTATCATCTCAGGAAAATATAATAAAGAAAGTTCAACAATGAAATACATCCTGGTTAAATTACTAAATTTAAAAAACCAAGCACTCAATGAAGAAAAGTCCATGGGAAATGAAGTGTACTTTATTTCGGAGCCAGGTTACCTAATCACAAAGATCGTGAAGCATTTAGTTTCAGAAAAATTCAAAACAAGAGCTAAATGATTTAACGTTATTCTTTTCTTCCTAAAATGAAGGTTTTCCCATTCCTAAATCTATTTTAACATTTCCAAACATGGTAATTTTATAAAGTTAAGCTTCCCTTTGATATTTGCAATATTATTCTATCTGAGAAGACAAGATTTCTTTCTGTAAAAAAAAAAAAGTAACATTTTTTTAAAAGCCTTGTAAGTCTCTCTTAAAACTCAGCTTACAAAAAATTCCAGCCAATTAAGCTATACATTGGGAAACAGATGGGCAGCAAGTATTTTACTCAATTTGATATAAAATAGGAGGCAAGTAGTGCATATACGGTTAGTAAACAGACTATAAATATAAATTCTGAGGAAGTTACTCAATGCAAAGATAAAAGAAAGTCATACGTATTGGCCTCATCTCTCATGGCATAGGTTAATACTAAATTTGAAATATCAAGTTTTAAAAAACATTCCAAATTGCAATGTCTTTCACAATCCTTTTTCTAAGCTATATGGACTTCATTTAGGAAATACATCAATAATTCCTGAAACTGTACTAAAGGTTTCTTTTTCTTTTGTTAAAATCAAACAAAAATAAGTTTAGTGGCTGGGGATATAGCTCAGCGGCACAGCACCTGCCTGGCAAGTGCAAGGTCGTGAGTTTAATTCCCTGTACCAGAAAAAAAACAAAAAGAAAAAATAAAATAAGGTTAATACTTGAATGTCTTCCATGATAAAACTTAAGGAAAAAAACCTTAAAAATAAAAATTACAACACAGCCCAGTTTTTATAAAAAGCTTATCTTGTCTTGCCACCTTATCTTCCTGCCTGTACATCTGCATAGAAATACATCTTAAAAAAAAAATCAACCAATGTTAGTAACAGTGATTGTTGATGGAGATGTTGCTTTAAAAATTCTTTGCACTTATTTGTATTGTTTAAATCTTTATAATGAGGTCATTATGTTTGCAAAACTGATACTTTTTTCTTTACCAAGCCACAATCATTAAAAGTACTTCTAAGAAATTCCTATTGAAGCTGAGTGTGGTAGCACATGCCCGTAAAAGCATTCTGGGGGGTTGAAGCAGGAGGATTACAAATTTAAGCTCAACCTGGGCAATTTAGTGATTTAACAAAACTGTTCAAAATTAAAACTTGGGGAAAAAAACCCCAAAGGCTTGGATGTAGCTCAGAGTGAAAGCTATAGGTTCAATCTCTAGTACTGGGGGAGAGGAAAAGAGAAAAAGGAAAATAGGAAGAGAATGTGAGAATGGCGGGAAGTACATGAGTGCCTGAGCTGGGCAGGTAGGAGGCTTGAAATCAGACGAAAGAATGGTTATTGTCATGAAATCAACGCACAACAAATACTGGCGAGGCTGAGGGGAGAAAGGAACCCTTCTCCACTGGTGGCAGGACTGTAGACTGGTACAACCACTGTGGAAATCAGTGAAGATTCCTCAAAATAACTAGCATTTGAGGTTCTATTCGACCCAGCTATTCCCCTTCTGGGTATTTCTGCAGAACTGAAAACATCACACCATAGTGATATATATGTGCATCCATGTTTATAGCTAAATCTTGGAAACAACCCAAATGTCCATCAGCTGAGGAATGGATAAAAAAAGATGTAGTATTTTTATACAATGGAGTATTACTCAGGTATAAAGGAAGATAAACTCAAGGCTTTTATAGGTAAATGGATACAACTAGAGACCATATCCATAAATGAAATAAATCAGACCCGCATGTGTAAGCATCATATTGTCTCCCTAGTGTAAGAAACTGAAAGAGTAAGCAAAATCCAAAAAGTACAATAGATATTGTGAAAGGGAAAGAAACTGCTCAAAAGGAAACAACAACTGGGATGAGGAAAAGGAGAAAAGGGAGAAAAAAAGAGATATGCATACACACACAAGATAGCTAAGATAACTGTACTACTAATTTTTATTAATTTATCGAAAGGGACAGTTAAGGCTTAATTTTTTTTGACCAATTTTGCAGGCTTATATCTGGTAATCTGAACAACTACTTTGAAGATAACAACATGCAATATAGCAACCACTGTTGATTTCCTATCTTGTTTTGAAATTCTGTATCTTTTTAATTTTATTCTCTGTAAAATTAAAAAAATAAAAAAAACTACCAAGACATAGAATGATGAAGCAAATGTGGCAAAATGTCAGCACTTCATGTATTTCGATAAAAGAGGATATGGAGTTCTCAGTACCATTATACAACTTTTCTCTAACTTTAAATTCCTTCAAAATTAAAACTAAAAAAAAAAAATTAAATGAACTGGCCAAATTTACTTTATGTCAGGGTCTCACTCTATAATTCAGGCTGGCCTTGAACTCATTATGTAGCGCAGACTGGCCTCAAACTCTTAGGGCTCTTCCTGCCTCAGCCTCATGAGTGCTAAGATTACAGGCATGTGCCACCCAGGACAATATTTAGAAAACTATAGATTCAAAGTTTGCTGAATCCATGTGCTATTGCATGTAATATAATCCTTCATTCCTAACAAAGCTATCCTCATTTATAAAGATACTAAGCATTGTACGTATTTCTATTTATCTTCAAGTGTTAGGTAATCACGTAATGCTTCCATATTCAAAGACATATATATTTATGTTGCTACATAAATTCATAATGTTCTTTACCAGTCAGACTGTGCATCTTGCCTTCACAAACTAAAGAGCATAGTGAACAGGAAAGAGCTTATTTTTTTCATAAAAACTCTTCAAATTATTGATCACATGGCTAGGTTAGGTTAAACTCTCTAGATTGCAATTTGTTTAATTACATTATTATGTGAACTATATTCAAGGGTTGCCATGGGGCCAAGTGTGAATGTAAAGTAAGTGGCACAGATATATGCCCAATAAATATATACTCGACTTACATTCTGCACAAAAAGAATACAGCCTTTGCAAAACTAAACATAGTATGTTTCTGATTAAGGCATTACCTTGACCTAAAGACTCAAAAAAGGAAACCACCTACGGCCACTGAGGCCCAAAACTATCTACCTCACACACATTTACTGTCTATAGTAACATGAGGCTATTACTGCTTTGTCCTCATTAGCACAATTTCACAAACCTTGGGAAATCCTGCCCAGACGAATAACCTGACCATTATAGCAGCCTCATCAAAAATCTATTCTTTAATAGAAAGCATCAGAGTTTATGCCTTAAAACTCCTTCCACTCCCTTCCTTTCTCTACCCATCAATAAACTGTTACATCAAGAAAGGGGTTCAATCCTAGTCAAGCACCCACCCCCAGTCCTCTCTCCCTATGTGCCAGGAAACGATTAGCCTTACAGCCTATTTCAAATTCTCTGTGACCTAACTCACCTGTCCAACCTGAAACACTACCAAAACTCTAATGTGGTGGCGCTTTCCCTTACCCTAGGAAGCAATAAAATCAGCTTTATCTTACTAAAATGTGATGTTGGTGTACCTGGGGAGTTATCCCTGGCCATAGCGGTACACCTGTAGGCATAAAGACAAGGCAGAGGGATTCTCCAACGAAGGCTAGAAACAATAAAAATGAACGAATGTACATTATATGCCAGGCAAAATATGTCCACTAATAAGTTTCACTAAGAAGGAAATCGGCTTGTCAAGACCATAACGCACTGTCCTTGTAAAAATTCCACAGGTGGCCGGCGAATTTTAAAAATTCTTTTTGACCAGTTCCAGATTTATTCTGCAGTTTTTACCGGCTGCCGACAACTCTCTGCAAGAGCTTTCAAGCTGGATCGTTTCCGATGGCAATTTAGGTTCACTATCAACTTCACGAATGTTAGGAACGCTGATTTCTCAGGGTCCAAAGTACAGTGAAGAACCCAAAACTGTGGGCGGAGGAATGAAGGAAGCAACAAGCGCCGTGCAAGGTTTACATCTTACCCTGAGAACGCGATCTCCACCCCACTATCTCACCCTCCACAGGCTTCCCTACGCCGGAGAGCCAGAAGACCGCAGAAGGCAAACTGGGTTCCGCGGAACGCGCTCCCACGCTGAGGAGGGCCCGCAGAGGCCAAGCGGGGCTTGGGGTCTGTGACTTTTGGGGAGTCTTCCTTCCACCCACTCTGGTATCCATACCTGACTGGCAATGGACCTGCGAAAGCCGCACGCCATAGCTCACTCTAAACGCCGCGGGTACCGGGCCTGGCTCCGCCCACCTCTGCAGCCCCGCCTCTGCACACCGGAAGTCCACCCGAGAGGGCGACGACAGCCAATCAAGGAGCCGTACGGCTCGCCACTAACCTTTGCCCTCTTGGCGCGAGGGCGCGCGGGAAATCCCAAGTGCATCCGGAGCCTTCCCGGCTGCTGGGACTATGGCCAGCTCTTCGGTGTCCAAGGTACGTGGATTGGCACTTGCCGGGGCTCCACCGTGCCCTCGTTCCCCTTTGAAGACTGGGTGAAGCCAGTTACGTCGGTCTCGATTTCCTGGCTCGAAGGGCAGGAGAAGTGGGCAGACCTCGGGCTTCTTTGCTCCAGGTCCAACTGAGACCAGTTTTACTTGGGAATGGAGGTCGCGGACCTGTCTTGTGGTCCTGCTAGGATTTTTTCATTCCAATTTATGGAGGTCAGATGCTACCAGGATGTGCCCCCAGTCGCCCCTACTTTTCCTCTCTTAAGTATTTACTGTGTGCCAAGCACTCCGTTAGGTACCCAGATAGAGACTTTATGTAAGAAAGGCGTTAATAAGCAGATGTTCATACATTATGACAAGTGTGAACAAGGAAGAAAGATAGAAGTATATAAAAAGAAGAGGAAAAAAAAAGAGAGGGAGGAACCTAATATACATTACTGGGGATCCGCGAAGGCTTTATGGAGAAAGTGACCTTTTGCCTGAGACCTGAAAAATGAAAATAAGTTTTTCAGGCACAGGGAAAGGAGAACAGAAAGAATAACATGTTCTTTGCCTTAAAAGATGGAAATGAAATGGCATATTAAAGAAATTGGGAAGTTAGTATAACCAGGGGGTAGAGACGGTAGGAGCGATAGGACAAATTAGTGTAAAAATGAAACGCAGATATGTATATGTTGGGGTGGGTCGAATCATATATGAGCCCTCTTTATACGGGCTGCTTAAATGGCAAAGGATTGCAAGTCAGAGTATAATTGGTAAGGAAATTGCTCGATATGGTGGCTAATGCCTGTAATCCCAGCACTTGGGAGGCTGAGGCAGGAGGATTGCCATACATTTGAGTCCAGCCTGGGGTACATGGTGAGTTCAGAGCCAGCTTGAACTACATAGTGAAACTGTAAGAAAATAAATCCTTAAGTTGCATTGCCAGTGTAGTATCCACTAGCCACACATGGCTATTTAAATTTGAATTACAAAAAAAAATTTTTTTGAATTACAATAAAATTAAATAAAATCCAGTTTCTTGGTTGCACTAGCCACGTTTGAAACACTTAAATACATAAAACCATCACTGCTGTACCAGGCTGAACAGATAGGTGACCTTTCCCTCAAATTCTTTTGGACAGTGCTCCTCTGGGTTGAGTAGAGTAAGGCCTTTAGTTGTCTTTTAAAGCAATAGGAGCTGGGCATGCTGGCGCCTGTAATCCCAGCACTGGGAAGGCTGAGGCAGGAGGATCGTTAAGAATTCAAGACCAGCCTGGGCTACAAAGTGAACTCAAGGCCTGCCTGAACTGCATAGTGAGAGCCTGTCTCAAAAAAAAAAAAGACTGAAATAAATAAACAAACAAAACAATAGGATGCCCTAGAAGTTAAGTTGTCTGATGAAACTGAAAATGCAGAATTGGTAAAGACTTTTTTCTTCCTGTGTTCCAGCAATGGATTGATGAAAGCTAAACTCAGGATTTAATTTTTAATTTTGATTAAAATGGTCTGTGAGAAGCAGCGTTTTCCAAAACTACCTCTCAGGGAGTCAGTATAATCCTAGGGTTTAAGGGTTTGAAGCACTGAAGACTTCGATGCTTGATGAAAAAGCCAGGGGAGGTTTAACTGTACTTGTGTTTTTGTTGGTTTTATTACTGTTTTTGTTTTTTGGTTATGAAGTTCCGCAAGTTTTGAGTGGTGTGTGTCCTTATCCTTTTGTTGCATAACACCTCTTACTTTTGTGGATCTTGCAGAGTATTAGATTTCTTTTCCTGAGGAAAGTATTTTTGATGTTAAAACATAAATGCCTGTTTTGGTAGGTATATGAATTCTCATATACTGTACAAAAGTAAGAACCTTTAAGAACCATTCTTAAGTATTTTTATTTCTCTTTTCTCATGAAATTTTCTGTTGGCCGTCCTCCTAAATGTCATCCTTCATCTCAAGCACCATCACTTGATGAACAGTTCAAAATGGTTATACTCATATTGCTGTCACTGCCTTATATTAGGGTCCATTCTGGGTTCCTTTTCTTTACTGAATTTCAGGTTTATATGGAAAAGATTCAATGAAAAGTTTGTCATGGTACTACGTGGTTTTTATAAATAGGTATGTGTATTTCACATAGTTTCACTAGTTGTACATGTAAAAATAGACAGAATTCTTAATTTGGAAATTATAATCTGAATGGATTCTTTATATTTTGCATAACTGCCTTGTTTAAGACTATCCTGAGATGACTTTTTATGTTTATATTTCTGATTTTTTTTTGATCTTCTTTATGAATGGAAATCTTTCAGAAGCTATCCATAAAGCGTAGCTTTAGGTTTGGTAGAATGCACTATGATGAGTAACTTAGGGAGCTATGTACCATAGTCCAATATAATATAAAAGTAAATGTGGCCACAAATTACCAAGAAAATTACTTGATCAGCATTCATTCATTCTGCATGCTGATTGCCAAATGTATATGTTAGTATTATCCTAAACATTGGGTCAACATTTATAAATAAAATATAGTGTGTACACTGAAGTTGCCCACAATGTACTTGGGAAGACGAACAATGATAATACCATGAAAGTGATTTAAAACAAAGGGAAATAAAGAGATCTCAAGGAAAGGAGTATTGGGAAGGTTTCCCCCAAAATTTGAATTTTCAGTCCAATTTTATTGGGTAAAAGAGAGCTTATCAGTTGAAGGAAAATGTAGGGTGAAACCATAGCCAAAATTATGTTTCCTGTCAAGATTCCACAAGGTGCTTAGAGTGTAATTAATTAATACTTTTTTTGGAATTGAAGAATGTCACTATTATCACCCTTCTTGATCTTCATATTTTTAATATGTAGTATTAATGATATTTCTCCTGAGTTTTATAAAAATGGAATCATTAATGAAATTAATTTGCATCAGCTTTTATTTTCTTTGCCTATACCAGCTGGTCCTACAATAAAATCAAAGGTCTATAAGAGCATCTTATGGGAAGAAAGGGAAAGAAATAGATTGTAGTTTAAGATTTTGTGATGTGATTTCTTAGGACCTGAAAGAAACATCTCTCCCACTTCTCCCTTTTTAAAAAAAATCTATTTATTTACAAAATATTTGGTTAATCATCTTTGTCTGCTTAGTACATGTCTATTTTGACTTTATGCTTTTTTATTTAATAGGGCTGTTTTGTGTTTAAACCAAACTTCAAGAAGAGAAAGATCTCTGTGCCAATAGGTAAGGTGTCTCAACATCAGATTTGTTACTTTTTCTTCCTCTGTGTCTTCTTAAACTTTAAAAACTAATTCTAACCTGGCTTGTTTATAATGTTGATGTAAAAGTTGCGTTCCAAAGCGCTGGTCAAAAGAGTGAACATATACCCAAGACTGTGTTCTCAGAGGAAATATAGACATATCTTCAGAAGGCAATTGGAAAGTAAGTTTATTTTGGTGATTTCTCTGCCTTTTTTATCTACAGCTTTAGAAATAAAAATAAAAGTCATTTTGTACTAGAAAAGTATATTGATGCCTGATCAAAGAATCAAAGCAATGCTGTTTTGTTAAAATGCTGTTTAGTAACACAGATTTCTACCAATAGTAGTAATATAGAGAAAAAATGAAATATCTAATAATACATGGAAAAATTATAAAACATAAGACTACAAATGTATATATATCTTTAGTGAAAATGGTGTAAAAATTATTTGTGAAATAAATACACAGTGTTTATGGGGAAATTTGAACATGCTTAAAATTTTGATGTAACTTTCCATTTTATGAATAAACTTGGCAAGATAAAGAAAAATCACCATATGAAACATATAATAATGGTTTTAGTAACTACATGAATGTTAAATAGGATGTCGCATGTTCCAATTTAGGCGCCAGTACTCTGTACACAGTACATGTTGAGAAAAAAAGCCCAAAGTCATGGGTCTCTATTTTTTTTTCCTTTCTTTAGTGCTAGTGAGCAATCTCAGGGCCTTGTGCATGCTAGGCAAGCACTCTACCACTGAGCTACAGCCGTAGCCCTTTTTATTTTATTTTGAGACAAAATCTCGCTAACTTGCCCAGGCTGGGTTCAAATTTGGGATCCTCCTTCCTCAGCCTCCTATATGGCTGGGATTACAGGTATATATTACCTACCACACCTTACTCTGAATCTTTTATAGTAATTCTCGCAGGTTGTGGAAGCACATAGCTATGGAATCATCTGGACTAGAACTAATTGAACAGGAGTATGATCCTGACCCTAACTAGCTCTATGGCCTTAGCCCTACTGTTCAACCTTTCCCTAGGTCTCTTCATCAATAAAATGAGAGGTCAGACTGTCTTATTAAAATCTTATTCTCATTCCGTGCCTCTAAAAACTAACATGCAGAACTTTGTGAGTCTAATAAATACCTTGTGCTATGATTGACTGCCTCGACCCTGTAGCTCTTAATAGCCTGAGGGAAAGGAATAAAAGCCAAAAATGAGCAGTAAAACACATTCTCCTCTCAGATCTGCTAAATATTTTCCAGTGGCCTGGATTTACTGCTTTTAATCTTCATATCCTTTCTACCAGCTTGCTCTTTTTATCCTTTCATGCACGCAGGGCTTTAGCACTGTTCTCACTGTTTATCACAGCTAAAAGAAACTTATAAATTATAAGGGGAATGGGTTTTAGTCACTCACTGATCCACATAATCATTAAGGGAGTGAATTTAATCATTCAGTCAGATACCCAGATGGGTAAGAGCAGACACTGATTCAACAGATTTTCAGCAGATTTTCTTAAAAGTCTCAGGAGTTTCGTGGGATGAGGTTGGGGGAGTTGATTACACAAGGGTGAAAGGAACCTTCTCGTAGGGATAGAAATGTTCTGTATCTTGAGGGGGTCATTATGTGAGGATTTACTTATATCAGAACATATCAAGCTGTTAAAATGGGTATATTTTATTTGTAAATTATATATCAATAAAATTAAATTATTAAAAACTGCTGTCTTTTTTCATTTATCTGTAGATACATGTTTAGTGATTCAGTTAAGATGACTTCGTTTCTTCAAAAAAATCATATTAATGTTAGTGACGAAAGTGTTTATTACACTGGTTTCAATTGTCATTGTACATTTAATCGCTTTGGGAACTTTTAAAAAACTCTTCATCTTGATATAATTGTAGATTTACATGCAGTTGAAAGAGATTACATTCTCCTGTTCCCCTCACTCAGTTATTTTACCAGTGGTAGAATCTTATATAATTACAGTACCATTTTACAACCAGGGTACTGACATTGATGCAATCATTCCAACAGAAAAATTAGGATGTAGAATTAAGCATATTTATATACTGCTTTTGAATACTGCAGTTTTACTAAGGAAGTAAACAATTTGGATACATAGAATAGGATTTTTCTAAATAATCACATAATATGATCTTATACCTTTTGTTTTTTTGTTTTGTTTTGTTTTTCTCCGGTACCAGGAACCGAACTCACGACCTTGTGCTTGCCAGGCAGGCACTTTGCCGCTGAGCTAAATCCCTAGCCCAATCACATAATATGATCTTAATTCTTCAGTCTAATACTGTCCTAGCTAGACAAGAGACAATAATAAAATGGTCCAATTGTGAGAGAAATGGAAGATAGAAAGTACGGTTTATAGTAAGAATATTGTTTTCCACCAACAGAGAAGTGAACAATGATCTAGAGCTTTATACCCTTATAGACTTATTCTGAAAGAAACTTGAGGCCAGATGTGGTGCATGCCTGTGATCCCAGCACTCGGGAGACTGAGGCAAGAGGAGCAACTTGAGTTTAAGACTAGCCTACGGTACATAGCGAGACCCTGTCTCAAGAAAGAAAAAAAACAAATGACATTTTCTCAGTTCCTTACTCTCCTCTCTAAAAAAAAGTAAGGTGATATTAATAGGCTTGGAAAAGTGAACAAAAAATAACTGTTACAAATTATTTTTATGTGATTGACCTATAAACAAATTCCTGTAGTGTTGGAGATTGCCAGGTTTATCAGAAATAGTTCAGAGAGAGCTGGACATGGTGGCAAACACCTGTAATCCCAGCACTCAGGAGGCTGAGGCAGTTGGATCACTGAGAGTTTGAACTACATAACAAGTCTCTCAAAAAACCCAAAAAAGTGGGGGTGGCCCTCAACAGAAATAATTCAGAGAAAATTTTAAGTCTTATTCCTCCATTATTTGTAGAGTCACATAACATGCAGTGGCATCTGATATAGCAGCAATATAATTATAATGAATATTGGTAGCATTTTTTAACATTATATACTAGACTGTTCCGGTAAAGGACTGAGAAAAGTCGCAGGAATAGGTACAGTGTCTTATGCTATTTTTCTCACTTTCTAAGAGCTTTTCAGTAGTATTTTGATACAGCATTATTCAGCACATAAAAGATACATCTTGATTGGCATTTAACATTTTAGATACGATTCTGCACATTATCAATATAAAGTGACATTCTGTTCTGTTTAAGCCTACCTTGTTATTTTGCTTTGTCTCTTAGTTTGTCTCCTTGCTTTTTTGTTTGTTTGCATTTCAGTTCTGTAACTTTGCTATTTTACCACTTGAAGACTGGCATATTCTAAGATATGTGGTACAATTAAAAATCAATATTTGTTAAAAAATTGAATTGACTGGTTAAAATGAAAATTCCTTAACACAAAAGAGACTTCTTACTTTAAACTATAAATTAACCTAAAATTTGATGATAGAATTCTAATAGAAGAAACGTAACACCTTGAAAGCTCTAGCTTTTACAATATCTAGCACTATACCATAAAAAATATGAAGGAAAGTAGAAAACTATAAAGAATGTAAAATATTTGATTGAAAGGAGAGACCTGTAATATTTTTGGATGTGACTTTTTAAAAACATCTTACAGATGTTATTTTTCTCCTAGTCTATAAGCTTGATTTTATATCATCAGGAGAGTATTTTGAAAAAGTGACAAAATTACTATAAAATTAACTTGATAGGGTAGTCAATTTTTTTTTAGTAAGAAAAACATTGGTAGCAGGGGAAGACCTGGATCTTGTCTGTATTAAATGCATTAATGTCTGTAGTATGATCAAAACATGGTGAATGTTTAAATTTTGAAAAGGTTATTACAGTAAGACACATTGTCATTCATCTCTCTCAAAATATTCCCCTTCGTTTCTTTTTTGTTGTTGTTACCAGGAATCGAACTCAGGACCTTGAGCTTGCCAGGCAGGCACTTGTGCCGCTGAGCTACATCCCCAGTTCCCCTTCATTTCAAACACACTTACTCCACCATTCTTGCCACTTTAAGAAGCAGTTCTGGAATTCCTCTTCATGAGTATCTGTAGTTGCATTGTTGTAACTGCTTGATGCCCTGAATCAATTAAAAATGTTTACCTTTCATGGTTATTTTGACTTTGGGGAAGAACTAGGAGTAGCATAGGGAATAAGAGGGATGGAAACAAACAGTAGTGTTTTTATTTGACAAAAATTGCCATAATTGGTTGATCCTCAGGGGTGATCAAAAAAATACTTAGAATGTTTAAATTTTTAAAAATTCATTGAAGTAAAAGACATTGCCATTAATTCTCTTCATATGCCAAATAGCTTCAAACATACTTACCCATTGTTCTTGACAGTGCATCTTTTCCTGCGATAAACTTGGAAGTTTTGATCACTCCTTGTACAAAAGCTACAGTAATTTAAACAGTTCAGGATTGAAATGGGCATAGAATTGAGTTTAGTAGAACAGAAGTTACAGATGAAAAATAGTTCCAAGTTGGCCGAGGGTAGTGGTGCATACTTGTAATCCCAGCACTCAGAGGCTGAGGCAAGAGATCGCTATGAGTTTGAGCATCATTGTGAACCTGGGCTTTATAGTGAGTTCAAGGCCAGCCTGAACTAAAAAGTGAGACAGTGTCTCAAAAAAACACAAATAGTTCCAAGTATATTTAAGTATTTAGCCTGAAAAGGCATCTCCAGTCCGTTGGGGAGAGTGCAGATTACTCTGTAATGAGTGTTTTTCCAGTGGGAGGTCATAACCTACATGTGAGTTAACAAATCAATTTGGTGGGCCGTGAAATAAAACATTTGCTATCACTTAAGGATAGGATTATCCTATGTAACTTTTTTGTTTTTATTATGTGTATGTAAGATCATGATGTAAAATGCGTTCTTTAATGTGAATCATTTAAAAGTTTGCCAACCATTGTAAGTAAAAGGTATGTTATCAAAGGATATTTGGAGAAAACATTCAAAATAGTTTCAAAAATAATACGGGCTAACTAAAAGACAGTTATGGCAATGGAACAAAAATGTAAGTACAAAGAATCATTTAATCAAGAAGAGATGAAAGCAAATATATAAAACAGCATATATGAAGCCATAGGATAAAGCAAATAATGAAAAATATGTGCATACTTAAACCCCCAAACCATTAAACTGCTAGAAATTCAAAAGTGAAGGATTCAAATGCAGTCTACAACTTAAATCATTTTAGCAGGGCGTGGTAGTGCATGCCTGTAATCCTGCCACTCTGAAGGCTGAGGCGGGAGGTTGAGGCGGGAGGCGTTGGGAGTTCGAGAACAGCCTGGGCTACATAGTGAGCTCAAGGCCAGCCTGAACTGCATAGCAAGACCCTGTCTCAAAAAGACAAAAAAAATAAAATAAAATTTAAGACATTTTAAATCTTGATATGTTTAATATGGTAAAAACTAACATATAAAATCAAACATAAAGAATGTGGAATATTATGTTTACTATGTAAAAAAACCTGATTTCTTTCTGTGTTTTTAGAGGAATATTTTAAAAAAGGGAAAAATGAGTCTGAAGATAGTAAGCTTCGATTTGAAACTTATCACTTAATATGGCAACAGATGAAATCAGAAACTGAGGTGAATATTCTTTTGTTAACCTTGCTCTAATTCTGTAAATCTTGTATCTGTTAATTTCCATCAATCTACAGGAATATTGTTAAAATATGGGAAATACTGGTCAAGCACAATCTGTAATATCCTAAAAAACAGGAAGCTAAAGCAAGGAGTATTTATTTCACTGGTGGCACTTTAAAATTATCTATTCAGTTAACAAGTTAGACGACTATGAAATAAAAGCTATTTCTAAATTCTTTCACTCCCTCATCCTCATATCTAGTTATAGTCTTCTTTCTGTTCCAGCTCTGAAAAATTTCTTCAGTATAGCTGGTTGGTGGATCTAGGACCAAAATCTTGAGCTGACATTTTGTTTGACCAATACATTATTAATAGTTTTGGTTTTGAATGCTTTGGGAGAGTTATCTATGTTCCCATTTATTATTGCTTCCTACCAGTTTCACAGCTTTACACCTAGCAGCTTTGTTGATTCATGTATTCCATGGGATCCTTGAAAGGATTTGAGTTTGTGGTTTCCAGTTTATTCCCTCTTGATATGAGTTGTTTCCAAGATTTAGCTATTAATAATGCTGCTATAAAAACGGTTTTGCAAGTATCACTGTAGTATAATGCTTTTAACACTTTCTGGAAGATACCTAGAAGGGGAACAGCTAGGTCAAATGGAACCTCTAGTTGTAGGTATTAGTCCTTTGTCTGAGGATTCGCTAGCAAAACTCTTACTCATTCTGTGGCTGTTTCTTCTCTGTATTGGTGCTTTCCTTTGCCGTGTGGAAGCTTTTTAAATGGTATGATCCCATTGATTCTTAGTATTAGTTTTTGTGCAGCTGTGGTTCTTTGCCTACACCAGGGTCTTCAAGAGTTTTACCTGTTTTGTTTTGCAAAAGATTTCATGTCTCCGTTTGAATATTTAGATTTTTGAGCCATTTTGACTGTAGTCTAGTGCATGGTAAGAGATAATGGGGTCTAGGTTCAATTTTTGTCATGCAGATAGCCAGTTTTCCCAGCACCATTTGTTAATGAGGCTATCTTTCCTTCAGAAAAAGTATTTGTCCCCTTTGTCGAAGATAAGGAAGCTGAGTGTGCCTGGAGTTGTTTCTGTTCTGTTCCATTGTTCCACAGTGTAGGTTGTTTCAACTGAAAAGTTTTTGGTTTTGCCAATATCATCCTGTTTTTATCACTATAGCTTTGTAGTACAGTATAACTTGAGGTACAGGATTGTGATAGCCCCCCTGCCTTGCCCTTGTTGCCCAGAATCACTTTTGCTGTTCTAGATCTCTCTGGGTTCCATATGAATTTTAGGATTGCCTTCACTAGTTCTGTGAGGAATGCTATTGCTGTTTTGATTGGGATTGCCTTAGCTCTGTATAACAGTTTTGGAACTACTATATAGCATTTTGACTATATTGGTTCTGCCTATCGAGGAATAGGGGATATCATTCTGTTTCCTACTATCCTGTTTGATAGCCCTTTTTCAGAGTGTTATAGTTTTCATTTAGAGGTCTTTTGCTTCCTTGGTTAAGTTAATTCCTAAGTATTTCATTTTTCTTACTGGTATTGTGAAAGGTGTTGTTTCCCTAATTTCTCTCTCCGTTAGTTTGTTATTGGTGTATAGGAAGGCTCTTGATTTTTGAGTGTTGACTTTGTATTCCAACTGTGCTTCTAAATTTGGTTATTAATTTTAGGAGTTTGTTGGTGGAGTTTTGGGGGTCTTCTATGAAGATCATGTCATCCACAAATGATAATTTAATCTCTTCTTTCCATATTTCTTTTATTTCTTTCTCTTGTCTAATTGCTCTGGCTAATGTTTTGAGAACTTTATTGAGGATAGCTGACATCCATGTGTTGCTGTTGATTTTAGAAGAAAAGCTTTCAGCTTCTTTCCATTTGTATGATGTTGGCCATTGGTTTATCATAGATGGCTTTGATCAGACTGAGATAAAAATCTTCTATGTATTCTTTAGTGGTTTTATCATGAATAGATGTTGCATTTTGTCAAATGCTTTTGTCCTTCTATTGAAATAATCATATGGTTTTTGTCCTTGGTTCTGTTTCTGTGATGTCTTGCATTAATTGATTTGTGTGTGTTGAATCATCCCTTCATCTCTAGGATGAATCCTACTTGGTGGTGGTATATGATGTTTTTGATGACATGCTGCATTTCTTAAGCCAGTATCTTATTAACAATTTTTGTATCTGTGTTCATTAAAGAGGTTGGCCTATAGTTCTTGTTTTTGGTTGGATCCTTCTCTGGTTTTGGGGTCAAGCTAATGCTTGCTTCCAGGAATGACTTTGGGAGTACTCCTTGTCTTTCAATCTCATTAGAGAATTTGAGTATTAGCATTAGTTCTCTAGTTCTTTGAGAATTCAGCTTTGAATCCATCAGGGCCTAGACTTTTCTTAGTTGATAGTTTTTTGTTTTGTTTTGTTTTGTTTTGTTTTGTTTTGTTTTGTTTCTTCTTAATTTCTTCAACTTAATTGATGCTGAATTGTTCAGGGTTTTTATATCTTCTTGGTTTAGCTTTGATAGTTTACAAGTATCTAGGAATTTATCCATTTTTCTCACTGTTCCATTTTATTAGGGTACAGGTTCTCAGGTGGTTACCAATCATCGTTTGCTTTCAGCAGACTCCATTGTGATTTCACCTTGTACATTTCTAATTGCATGATTTTATGTCTTGTCTTTATTTTGGTAAGATTGACTCAAGGGTTATCTATTTTGTTTAATCTGTCAAAGAACCAACTGTTTGATTTATCCATTTTTTGTATTTTTTTAGTTTCAGTTTCATTGATTTCTGATCAGTTTCATTGATTTGATCTTCCTTCTTTGTAGTAGCTTTGTCTGTTTTGTTTAATCTTTCAAAGAACCAACTCTTTGATTTATTGAGTTTTTGTATTTCCTTTTTAGTTGCAATTTAATTGATTTCTGATCTTCCTTCCTTGTAATAGCTTGCAGTTTGGATTGTTCTTGTTTTACTAGGACCTTGAGGTGTATCATTAGGACATTTATTTAGCTCACTGGTTTTTGATGTGGAATATCACAGCTATAAACTTCCCTCTTAGGACGGCCTGCATTGTGTCCCATAAGTTTTTCTATATCCCTTTGCCCATAAAGCCTTGCTGATCCTCTAATCTGGCCTTCACAGCACTGCGAGATTAACCCTTCTTAACCCCAATTTAATCATGTCTCCTTCACATGCCTTCAGTGGCTCTCCCCACAAGAAAAAATCCACACTCTAGCACCATCTGTATTTTTTTCTTGGTCTAAAGTTTTACATATTTGTCTAGCCTCATTCCTACCATTTCTCAGGTTTTCTTAACCTTACCTGTACCTGTAGTTCTGCAGATGTGTGGTGCTTTTGTTCTTCCTTGCCTCCCCAACTCCTCATTTCTTCTACCTTTGCTTCCTGTCACATTCTTACCACTTTAATGCCTTGGTTCAGATACATTATCTGCTTAGTTTAGATGGTCCTGCTCTTGGCTTCTTTGCTACCTTGTATTTTAATCAGAAGTCTTGTCTGATTACTTTTTTAGGGTAGAGTCTGGCATTCCTAAGGTGATTAGTAAAGGTTAAATGGATAAATGAGAGGAATTTTAATTAGGGCACATTAGTAATACAGAATAATGGGTTTCAGTTGGGAATACTGGCACATGCACATTACATACTTTGATTGCGTTCAGCCCCGTTGTGCCTTCCCTGTTTCACTTTTCTCCCTGGTGCTCTTCCTTACCTCGTCAGTCTTATCTAATGAGAGGACTTTTTAATGGGGAAGTATGAAGCACTAATTGCTAGAGATTTAAGGAAAAAACTTGTTCTGAGTTTTATCCATCTTTTAATCATTTTACATGTAATCTTTGAGTTAAATCCGTAACAGTTTTTTCTTCCAAAACTGATCAGAGAGATCAAAAAGGTCACCCTAAAACATACTTCCAGATGGCTATTCCAAGATATTATATATACAGAATGTCTCTGAAAAACTGTTTGCCAAAAGAAATATACATCTTTCCATATTAGTACATAGTGGGTGAAGGCAAAAGCTTCTCTCTCTCATGTCCCCTATTGCCTAGGAATGAACTTTGGATAAGAAAAAGAGGAAGGGTAGCACAAAAAAGAGATTGCTGTAGATGGCTGCCTTTTTCTTCCCCTCCTGTTGTGCTGGGCCAGGGCCTTGCCCAGGCTAGGCAGGCACTCTTAACACAGAGCAACATCCCTGATCCTCTTTAAAGTTACTTTTAGACAGGGTCTTGCTGAGCTGTCCGTGCTGGCTTCCTTTGTCTGGTACATGTTCCTCCCGCCCTTCTGTACTGTGTGTTGTTGCCACTGCCCTGCCTATCCTCCCCAAACCCCTGTTTCTTTCTGTAACCCAAAACGCAATGAAGGCTTTACCCATCTTGCCCTTTCTTTGACTCATATTTTGTGTGTGACTCATTTGATGTTAATAAATATGTATGCTTTCTTCCCCCTAATATCTTGCCAATTTACTTCATAAATTAAACTTATTGAGTGTTCAAAGGAAAAGAAAAATTTTTAACTTCCTTACACCAGGAAAGACACATCAGAATGCTACTGATGATAGTAATTCATAAAATGGTGTGTTTTGCAGCAACTACAAGAGGATTTAAATAAAAACCTGTTCAATAATCTGATTGAATTTCTGCAAAAGTCTCATGCTGGATTCCAGAAGAGTTCAGGGGACTGGGCCTGTCAAATAAAACTTAAAGAAATTCCAACAGCTGCTCTTGTTCTTGGTATGTATTTTGGTGTTTATTCATGCATGCATTTTTAATTGGTTTTTATTGTTGAGAATAGTAGGAATAACTTGTTCAGATAAACCTCTTTTTTTGTATCTTTTATTTATAGAATTAAACTATAGTTTACTTGCTTTAAAACCAGTAAAAGTTCATTAAACTGATCATACAAATGTAAATTAAAACAAAGTGATCCAGCAAGTGTTCTGTTCAACATATTGTCAGAAGAGGAGTTATAGTTGTTTTATTCATTCTTCCTTGTATATGATATGACAGTATATGAGATTTGGATTGGGCAGTAAAGAAATCACCAATATGTTAGTAGATTTGAGTTTTGTACCTTTTCAAAAAAATTGTATCTGTAATGGAATTAATCTATAACAGTAATTTTATTTCTCTGTGCTTTGTTTTTTAAGTTTCAGATTGTTTTCTTTTATTAATATTGCTAGGAAGGGGTTTAGATGAATTGTATACAAAAAAGTCTCTAGAATATTAGCAAATTTCTTTTCTTTTTTATTCCCTTCACCTTTTTTGGAGGTGGGGGCACGGTGATAGAGATGAACTCAAAACAGTAAGCAGGCTGAACGTGTTTTCTGTCACTGAGCTACATGCCCTTATCCCTGTAAATTTCTTTCATTCCTTTTAAAAAACATAACAATTTATTTGGATTCTAGACACACGTATCATTTCACTTCCAATTTGTTATTTATTTAGAGTTTGTTTTCCTAGTAGACTCTGCGATAAGAAATTTTCTTGCTTGATACCATTTCTAATTCTGTTCATTACCTCTTATTCCTTATATTCAGGATACTACTTCTCCAACTTTAATGTGTATACAAATAACAAGAGAGGGTTTATTAAAAGTGCAGAATTTTGGTAGTGGGTATAGGGTGAAGCCTGACTCTTGCAGTCCTGATAGCCTTCCAGCTGAGGGCCAGAATCGCCTTGAGTAACAAGACGCAGTGGAGTGATTTTTATGTTTTGGACCAATTTCCAAGCCAGCCTGCTATATAATTTTCCATTTATGGATACCCGCCCCCCTTACACTGTTGGGTGCTTTTTGTCTCAGATGCCAGGTTACAGCAGTTAGAGGCAGGTTAAGGAGGCACAATGAAGAAGGGGCTTAAGGCTCTGCTCTACCTATTGCCAAAAAGGAAAACAGAAGTTAATGGAAATCACATTTTTCAAAATTGTGACCTGAGAATTTTTGTTCCAGCAAAGGACCTTGTTGATTATCCTGTTTGCATTAGATGTATTGTTTTAAGAAATATAATGTTGTGGAGGGGTGGGGGTGATGCATAGATGTAATCCCAGCACTTGGGAGGCTGAGGCAGGAGGAATACCACAAGTTCAAGGGCAACCTGGGCTGCATAGTGAGACCCTGTCTCAGTAAAAAAGAAAGAAAGGAAGGAAGGAAGAAAAAAAGAAAGAAAGAAAGTTAAATAACCTTTATGAAGTCAGATTGTGAAAGACAAGATAAGTCAGTGTTCTACTGAGCTCAAAGTTTTTCAAAGATTAATTACTGCAATCATAGATTATGATGCATGCTAGAAATAATATGACCCCATAAAAGTATTTTTTACAGGGTGTAAGCACAGTTGCATGTCTTCTCCTTTCAAAAAGGCCCATGAACGTTTAAAAATTAGTGTGCTGATAATAAAAAGAAATTTAAAAACACAATAAAGAAAAAAGATCTGATAATTTTTAGGTTTTGGCTTTCCTGGGAGAAGGGGAAAGTCATAGCTGGCATGAATGATTCTTAAATCCTTTATTCCAAGTAATGGAAATTTTACAATGAAAAGCCTAAAGCAGTTTGAGGTCATGTATGTACTGCTGATCCACTCTAAGTGCCAGAGGAGTTTCCAGAAAGCATAGATTGTCCTGCAAGGAAAAGTATCAGTTAACAGCATCATTCCCACAGTAGTGGGGAAATTTCTACCCAGCTCAGCTTAACTGTATGCACAGTAGTACTAAAACTGATTTGTGGGAGTGAAAATGAGTACTTTGATAAATACCAGAACTTGGTAATTTCAAATTTGCTCTTCTTGCAGAAATCAGCTTAGTATACATTTTACCTACTTCATACTAAAATTGTTAAAAATAACATTATGGTTGGATTCTCCTCAGTTATAAATCAGGGTAAGAATTATGCTGTAGTCCATAGAAAACCCTTACATCTCAATGACTAAAGAACTCTGAATTTGACAAAGTTATGAAATTACTCCTAATTTTCAAAGGTTAGCTTCACATCTTTCGTAATTTTTTTAAAGAAAGAATTATGCTAAATATCTTTCTGGACACATCAATTTTGTTAGCTTTTTGATACTGTGAAGAATGCTTACAATACTCAGTTTCTAAGGAGAAAACATGTATTTGTTTGGAAGTTTCAGTTCTTGGTCAGTTGACTCGTTGCTTTGGGGCCCGTCCGGAAGCAGTATATCCGGGCAGAGTGTATAGTGGAGCAAAACTACTTGCCTTGTGGCAGCCAGGGAGCAAAGAAAGACATGAAGGACCCAGGGTCCCCGCCTCCCCTTGGAGAGTGTCCTCCCAATGCCTGACTTCCATTAGGTCCCACCCGACGCATTTGTACCTTCAGGAAGCGCCGCAAGCGATGGACTGAGCCTTTACCACAGAGCCCTTCGCAGGGCACACAGGGTCCAAACCATAGAATCAGTATAGCTTGTACCTTTAGATAATCTATTACTAATGGAGATCTCTTCATTTATGCAGTGTATTATCTTGATTTCTGCTACAAATCGTATTTTTTTAAATATTTTTATTTAGTAGTTTACTTGCTATGTCAAATATCTTTTGTTAAAGTCTTCATGAAAATAATGATGTAATGTTGATGTATTATCCCATAGGTGTGAATGTCACAGATCATGATTTAATATTCAGAAGTCTAACAGAGGCCCTTCACAGTAACATCACACCATATGTAGTCTCTTTGCAAGCTAAAGATTGTCCAGGTAAAATATAAATGCTGTAATTACGTTGGTAAAACATTGCAGAATAATTCTGATCCTTAATCTCTGTTTGTCTGTCTGTCTGTCTCTGTCTGTCTCTCTCTCAGCTTCTTAGTCCCTTTTTATTTGTGGCCAGAGCACAGTGCTACATATTTGGCAGGCTGAGGTTTAGCGGCCCCCAGAATAATCTTGACTATTGCTAAATTTTGCTTCCTTTACTCCGGGCGCATGCCTGCCACATCAGTGCCAGGAATAGTCCATGCGTTTTGTAAGATGTGTCCCTAACCCAATGAAAAGAGTGCATGCAAAGATTTGATGTATATATTATCCCATACATACAAGATCTGAAATAGGAAGCTCGGAATGGGAGAATGGTGAGCTCTTACTTAACCAAACAGAAGTTATACCTTGTGGGTTCATATCTACGGCCATAAGCCATCTTATTTATTTTCTTACTTAGAAAGTCTGCTGTGGAAAAAATAGTTGGCAGAGGCAATCTTGAATGTCTGAAGACTTCAAATCATAAAAAATGTGTAACTAATGTTAGTAAAATTTGTTTGGATTTGGACTGATACCGGGCTTTTATGTGTTTATATTACTTTCATATTCATAAACTGATTAGAATTAAGTAAAAGCCCTAAGACATCTTTAAAAATGATAATGAAGATTTGTGATCGGTAAGATAATTGATGCAAATAACATTTTTGATGCTTTTTTTAGAGACCTAGAAATCCTTTTGTTGTCTACTGTAATTTAAGTACATATTTCTTAAAAAATTGCTAGGCATAGTGGCACATGCCTATAATCCCAGCACTTGGGAAGCTGAGGCAGGAGGTTCACTGTGAGTTAGAAGTGCCTGGGCTACCCTGTCTGAAAAAAACAAAAACAAGGAAATGTATGTATAGTTTCCGTGTTTATATTTCCTTTAACACTTTCATTATAGATAATACTTAGTCTAGTCAGTATGAGCAAATGGAATTTAAATATTAAGGAGAAGTGATTAATGAGCCTTACTAGTATGTTAAATGTGACTTTAATTATATTGATGATAAATAATAGAAAAATACATTCTACCCAACTACTGTAATATAAACTGTTCAAGAAGTTTCGAAGACTTTAATTTTGTCTTAAGAGGAGACAAGACTTTCTTTTTATGTTCTGCAGATATGAAACATTTTTTACAAAAGTTGGTCTCACAGTTAATGGACTGCTCTGTAGATACAAAACCCAAAGAAGGGGAAAATGTTGAGGTTGCCCAGAAAAAGACACACTGTTCAATGGAGTCGCTTTCCAGTTGGTATATGACTGTCACACAGGTAAACTGGGGATTTTCTTCTAGAAAATTGGCATATGGGACTAGGAATTATATTAAATAGTTTACTTTTTTTGTTCTGATATCAATTTAATGATACTTTTTTCTAAGGCTACTAGAATCTAAAAATGTTGTTTTATTAGTATGCATTCTAATTCCTGATAAGGGCCTAGGTTCTTACAGAGACCTTGCATTTGTGGGAGAGTGTCATCTAGTGACAGAAGGAATCAGAGTTCTGTTTTAGATTCTGTCTCTGGCAACAACTATAATATAGTATCTCTTAAGTTCTTCAGCATTTGCTTGTTGTCTACTGTCAGACAACTGTCAGCTTAGTCTTGTGGTGTTCCATTCTTAGAGTTCTTGTGGAATCAGCTCTTTAAGTAAAATATGTCTGACAAATAAATGCCTAGAGTTAAATTTTACTCTGACAATTTGATGAAAATGGATGATTCCTATGTAACTGCACTGTAAAACTACAACCTTAATTTATAGTGTTGTGTAAATGGATAGTATGGGCAAAAAATGCTGTGGTGACTTCCAATCAGCATTTTCTGGTGTGAGATAAAGAATTTTATGTACTTCATAGGCAGTGTTTTTAAAAATTAAAAATTAGATGGAAGATGGTGGACATGTTGGTTCTGAGGATATAGTTTGAATTGCTTCTTTTTGTTGTTACTGTAGAATAAATTCAGGACTGACAGAAGTCAACATGGGGAAGTTTTGTTTTCCTTTATATAGAGACCAAACTAGATGTAATGCTTACTAAAATACCTTTGTTTGGTCAACAATTTCAGAGTTTAGAAATCAAGCACTCCTTCTAGTTCTCTATATTGAACCAGATGATATTTAGGGCCCTTTCCAAGCTTGAATGTCACTGTAGCAGAGTAGCAAGTAGCATGTTTGTTACACTTTTTCATTAAAAATACTATTTACCAACAGAAAATTCAGTTTTGTAGAAAATTTTCTCTTCCTATGTTTTTCTTGTCATTTTCTCAGAAGAAAATATAAAATATAAATTATATCATAAGTTATAGATTTTACTGATCTTTTCTTTATTGTTATTATTCCCATATCTGATACAGAAAGATTCCACTAATAACTGTTGGAGTAGATTTCTCTTACTATGCAGAAAAATAGAAAAACTGTCATTGTGAAATATAAAGGGAAATAAATCAATATGTATAGCATTATAGTCGTATTTGGTGGTGAGGCTTACTTTTAACTCCTTCTTTCCACAATGACTTAAAAGAAGACAGATCCAAAAATGGCAAGCAAAATGAGGACTACTTCTAGTCAATGGCAGTCTCCTCCTGTTGTGCTTATATTGAAGGATATGGAAAGCTTCACCACAAAAGTACTTCAGGACTTCATAACTATCACCAGGTATATGGTGTGTCACTTGGCTTTTATGCAAAATTCTCTCTTTGTGTTAAGAAAACAGTACTTTTCACTTAAAAAGTATAAACATTTTAAGGCCAATTTTATGGGATTCAAACTGCTTTAAGTACTTCATATTGAATGTTCAAAGACCTCCTATCAGATTTTTCATTTGCTTTTGGACTCACGGGTAGGAAAGACACTTAGCCTGTTCCTCACTGCCACCCCCACCCCCAGCTCCCCACCACCCAGGAGCAGAGATGGAGCTCAGGGCCTTCACACAGAGCTACCTTCCCGGCCCCTTTCTTCTATTTTGGGACAAGGTCTCACTGAGTTCCATGGACTTCCTGGATTTGAACTTGGAGTCCTTTTACTCAAGCTTCCCAGAATGTTAGTCTGTTTTTAATTTACAATAGCATTGGATCTTCCAGGATAGGGATCCTGGAAGAAATCAAAGTTAAAGTAACCGTATTTTAAAATTATATGAAATGCATTTCCTGTGTGTTTTCCTTTGGAATGTAATGAATGTATTTTGGCATCTTCTATATGTCAACTTGCCTTCTTAGTAATGGCTACAGTTGCTTTCAGCTGTGTTGAATTATAATTTACTAATGCACTAAAAATTCTTATTTTGACAGTGTAGGTTGTTTTCCCGCATCAACTCCCTCACAGTTCTACATCCTAAGAGTTTTTAAGTGTTTTTTTTGAAGGGGGTCCATGCTGGGGATGGAACCCAAGGCCTGGTGAACAATAGGCAAGCCCTCAGACTGAGCCACATCCCCAGGCCCTGCCTGTCCTAGGGCTTGTCTTAATGCTAATGCTGAAGTACTTACTGTATTGGGAAAGTGTAAGTGACAGAAAAAAGAAAAAACAAAAAACCCTGTAGTTTTAGGAACTAAGACTTGAGACTCCTTTAACTTTCAAAAATTAAATAGCACTTAAAACGGTAAGAGAACTCTTGTGCTTTATACCTGTGAAGGTAGAACTGCAAACAGCTGGAACACTAAAGAACAGTCACTAATAGGAAAGAACAGAAAAAAGATCACCTACCAAGATAGATGACTCCGACTTGCAACAGCCCTCAGAAATAATACTGTTTTATTCTATAATAGAAATCCTTTGTGTTAAATATGTTTGGGATAAGAATGCCGGAAGGCATGTAACATCTTTTAATGATGTACAGTAAAAAGACATAACTGGATACAGTGGCGCATGCTTGTAATCCCACTATGATGGGAAGCCAAAGTAGGAGAGTCACAGTTGGATGCCCAGCCTTGATAATTTAAGCAGTTTAGAGACCCTGTCTGTCTGTCTCTGTCTGTCTGTCTGCCTGTCTCTGTCTCTGTCTCTGCCTCTGTCACACACACATGAATGTTTTACATATGTGAAAGAAGTTTTCTAATTCTTGGCTGTTATGGCTGGATAACAGTGTCTATCACAAAAGACTATAAATAGAACGCATTCCTTTGAAAATTAATGAGCTTCATATCGCCAAACTCTGGAAGCATAGACTGGATGGCCAATTATGAGGAATACTGTGGGTCAGACTTGGGATGAGAAGTTAACTGACAGTCTAACACATTTTAGAACAGTTAAGATTGAATGCTCTTAAGGAATGCACTTGATCTTTCAGAATCACAATGAAAGGATACAGCTGGACACGACACACAGTGTAATCCAGCACTCTGGGAGGCTGAGGCAGGATCCCAAGTTTGAACCTAGTATGGGCAACCTACTGACAGGCAGACACTGTCTCAAAATAAAAACTGAAAAAGGGCTGGAGACACTGTCTCAAAATAAAAACTAAATAAGGGCTGGTATTGCAAACATAATAAAGAAACATACCTTGGAAGTATCTTGGCAAGGCTTTACTTCTGCAGAAGGGTGCATGACTGAGCTACACAAAACCAGCCAGCACACCAGTAGTCTTCTGGGTTTTTACTTCCTGCTCTGTTGCACTGTCGTCACTGCCATGCTGCCTTGGTAGGGGTGTGGCCTCACAGTCGGCTAGTTCTTAAATTGTCCTAGTTGCTGGGTTGAACAGATCCTGTGGCTCAGGAATCTCTTTGTTACACACAAAATTTAAGACAGGTAGCCTGGTGTGTGGCCCTTTGTCTTACGTTGTCTTTCTAAGGAATGGTGAAACCTTGAGTACATTTTATAAAAATAGGATTTTACAGAAAAATAGAGATTCGTATAAAATCGATTTACCCTAAATATCCCCTTTGACAGAAAAGACTGCTGTACCTTTCTCACGAGATATAGCTCAGTGCAGAAGGCCTGTGTTCAATCCATACTGCTGTAAATAAAATTTTTTTAAGGATACATTATTAAAATTAAAGCCATGTGTGGTGGCGCACGCCTGTAATCCCAGCATTTGAGAGGCTGAGGCAGGAGGATCATTGCAAGTTCGAAACCAGCCTGGGTTATAAAGTGAGCTCAAGACCAGCTTGAACAACATAGCAAGTCCCTCTCTCAAAAAGACAAAAAAAAATTAAATTGAATTAAATTAAATTAAAAATCTGTGATTAAGTAAAATTGGGGAAAACGACACATTAATAAATTGATTTCAAAACTAGAATAAGAAATAACAAGGTTTGAATTACTTTACCAAGAAAATGAATGACTTAGTGCTGCGTTTTGGAATGGTGTTCATGAGCAGTCTTATACAGTAGACGTTAAAATAAAGCTGGTCATATCTTGAATTATGTATTGAAATATATTTGCTAGAGAATTTCACCTTTTGTATCTTTCTTTTGAAAACTAGTCAACATCTCCATGAATTTCCACTAATACTGATTTTTGGAATCGCCACATCTCCTATCATCATCCACCGACTGCTTCCTCATGCAGTCTCATCTCTGTTGTGCATAGAGCTGTTCCAGTCCTTGTCTTGCAAAGAGCACCTGACCACAGTCCTTGACAAGGTAAAAAGAAAAGGTGCTGCCAGTGACCTAGGGTGAAAGTAAAACCGCCAGGAACAGAGTGTACATAGAAATGTCAATAATGAACCGCTACTTCTCAGAGTAGTGTAACTGCATTCCTTTACATATTTTAATATTTTTATGTAACGATTATAGTCTTAGGGTGATTTTGTATAGAATTGTCTCTTCAGATAAAATGCAAGCTTCATAAAAAGAAGTTTGGTTTTTCTCCAGTACCGGGAACCGAACTCACAACCTTGCGCTTGCCAGGCAGGTGCTTTGCCGCTGAGCTAAACCCCAGCCCCAAAAGAAGTATTATATCTATGTATTTGTATCTTTTATTACTCAGTGGAAAATTAGAGGCTTTTAAAGTAAATTTTTACAGAATTTATACACTTCCTAGTAACAATATCCGTATATTTTGATCTTAAATTTTAAAATGTATCAAATGATTTGAAGTATAAAATGATTTGAAGTTTGTAATGAAATCTTTCTTAACTGACTGTCCTGCTGCTCTTGACAAATACTAAACATTTCTCAGATCTTAGTCACTATAATGTTTCCATCTAAAAGGAAATACAATTCTTTTTTTGTGGGGCTGGTATTGGGAATTGAACTTAAGGGATGCTGTACCACTAAGCTACATCCCCAGTCCACCTGTCCATCTGTCCATCTATCCTGCCTTCATTTCATTTTGAGAACAGGAATTCATGAAGTTGCCCAAATTGACCTCAAAGTTGTAATCCTCCCACCTCAGCCTCCCAAGTACCTGGGATTACAGGTATGAGCCACCTTGCCTGGCAAAATATGTTGAACTTCCACAAATTTAGTGTTGAATCTCCACATATTTTTGCTATCTCTTTAAACTGTTGTGTTTTGTTTTGTTTTCGGTACCGGCAGTCAAACTCTGGGCCTTGCACTTACCAGGCAGGTGCTGTGTCACTGAGCTATATCCCTGGCCCTAGACTGTATTTATGTTGCTTGTATAAGGTGAACTATGGCAACCTATTTACTTATTTATTGACCATTTGTACACTTTTTCCGTAAGCAATATTCATCTACTGTATTGACCCTTTAGAGAAAATTATTTCACCTATAATATTTAATTTTTTATGGTCATAGTCAAATTTAATTGCCTTCTGTTGTTTTTTTTCTAAGAACCCTAGTGTGAGCCAGGTACGGTACCACACGCCTGTAACATCAACCTCTAGACAGGCGGATGCAGGAGAATCACAAGTTCAAGGACAAGCTGGGCAACTTAATGAGGCCCTCTCTCAAAATAGAATTTTTTTAAAATGTGTTCAAGATAGTTCAGTGCTGTCTGGGTTTCATTACCCCTTCCTTGAGGGCATTGTGTGACTTTCATTTTCAGGTGTAGAACATTACTGTAAACCATGGAAAATTGACCAAATAATTTAAATTTAGTTATTCTAAATTTTTAAAACAAAAATTATTTTGTGTTTCTCTTTCAACTATGTACATAATCTGTTATTCTTCATTAATTTGACTCAGGGGATGTACAAGAAATCTTATTATAAGAATTATCAAAAGCTGCACCTTCGTTAGTGACTTCTGGTGTGAGAAAAAGAATTTTATATACTTGATAGGCAGTGTTTTTCAAAATTAAAAATTAGATGGAAGACGGTGGACATGTTTGGTTCTGAGGATATAGTTTGAATTGCTTCTTTTTGTTGTTACTGTAGAATAAATTCAGTTAAAATTTTGGTTGATATTTGACCTATGAAAAACTAGCTATTACTTTCATATTTACCATGTCATAGTTCCATTCTTCATCTCATTATTTATACTTAATATTTATGAATAGTCAAGAGTAACAAAGACTGTCTACCTCCCCTCCCTTAATCTGTTTCAGCTACTTCTTACAACTCAGTTTCCCTTTAAAATAAGTGAGAAAGTGTTACAAGTGCTCACCAACATCTTTTTATATCATGATTTCTCAATTCAAAACTTTGTAAAAGGACTTCAGGTAAGAAGACATTAATGTGTTTGAAAATTCACAAACTGATTCTAAACAATTTCATTTTCTTTTCAGACTGTTAACTGTGCTAAGTCATTTTAAGTGACAAAATCTAGAATAAGCTCAAAGAATTCTAGTTATTTTATTCAAGGTTCTACCATTACTTTGCAGCAAAATGTAGGGAATACATTAATTAGAATAACAATATTAGAAAAGAGCTCTCTGGTAGTGATTCTTAAACATTTTGGGAGTGGGCTGGAAGGACTTTTTAAGAACTTGAGGAGAGCTTATGATCTTTCTACCTGAGAAACACCGTATGTAAGTGGTCAGGAAACTTCTGTCACGCACTAGAAGTAAAAGTTTTAGTTTTACATGCCGGTGTGATCACTGTTACTGTTGCTTTTCCTTTAATATCCTTTTAAAGATGTAAAATAGAAACCATTCTTAGTTCCTGGGACATACAAAAATAAGTTGTATGCTAGAATTCGATGACTCCTGCACATATATATGTTTATGTGTGTGCGTGTGTGTTTACATTTATTCTGATATCAGGAATCATTTTCCTTACGGTTTCATGAATTATCAGAAGCTCATTCTTAAATTTAACTTAAGCATTTGCTCTAACACAAAAGAAAACCCCCATTCTCTAGATGTTTAAAGGTTAATATTGTTGCCCGTTTTTGTCAGCTACTTAAATTATCTCAGCAAAGGTTTAGTCATTGTGAACATGTGCTTTTTGTCAAGTTTACTAAGACCTGTATTTTGGTAACCTTTAGTTCAAAAGTGTAATAGGATAATACTCAGCTTTGTATAGTGCTTTTAAGATTATAAATTATTTCTTTTAGGTATTTTTCCTCTGTATAAAACACTATAATGTTTTTATTAATGGGTAATGTGTATTCTGTTTTTCAACATTGACTTTAAAAAAATATTTCAAATCAAAACTGTAAAAATATATTAAATAATACCAACATTTCTTCATTTAGTCATAAATATTAGTCAAGAGTCTACATTGGGCCAAGTACTATGCTGAGCTGTAGATGGACAGAAGAAGAAATCCCTGCTTTGAATTGCTCATTACCTAGTGAAAGAGGCAAGAGAATAAACCTAATTATAGGTCTAAGTAGTCAGTTCTAAGGAAGAGACATGCCTTGAAGTTCCACAGCAGGATGGACTCATAGCCTAATAGGAGCTAAACAGGTCAACATGAGAAGACCATTCCATGCAAAGGCAGCAGTAGAAGGGAAATCTGTAATGGTAGAAAGCTATTGACTAATCTAGACAAGGTATGACAAGGACCTAAACTGAGATTGTAAGAGTGGAACTAGAGAAGAGGAACAAATTTGAGGAGATAAAATCAACAGAGCCCAGTGACTAAGAAGACAACAGGATGTATAAGAGAGGAGCAAGGTAACACACAGGCTCTAGTTTAGCAGATGAATTAGGTTAGTACCATTTATTGTACATGTTAAGACAGAGTAAATGGCAACGTTGTTATGAGAAAAATGTTAAGTTTTTTGTGCATGTGATTGATTTAAGAGTACTGTATATGGAGAAGTTTGATGCTCAGGAAAAAGATTGGGAATAGAAATATTTAGTGTTTATCATTAGATAAAGTCCTGTGGTGAGAGTGAAGTGTCACTCAGAGGGGGTAAGGAAAGGGTAACATAAAACCCTAGGAAGCTGACCTCTGAGACCCAGCAATAGAAAAGGTAACTGAAATCAAGGAAACCCAAAGTGGAGTAGCACTAAAGTCAAGGGAAAAAGAGTTTCAGGAAATACAAACCGTAGCTTCTGATACTGTACCTCAAGGAAGTGAGTAAAGAAAAGAATGTTAATCAAGTTAATCTCTCTGTGTGTCAGTTTTCTCATCTATAAAATACGGGGATCAAATTAGATGACTTTAGGGATCCTGATAATTCCGTAAGCAATTGTTTTGTGCTAGGCCTTTTATTAAGTGTTTACATTGTCTTATTAATGTGTTTTTTTTTATTAGCATGTCTGTAATTATGTAATGTTTACATTCCTTGTGCGAAGTTGGTACACGAACGTGACACATCTTAATTCCTTCTCTCGTCCCCTTTCCCTTCTCTTCCTTCCCCTCCACCCGTCTCTTGACCCCCCCTTTTATATATGTTTGCAGTACATAATGTTTACATTTTCCTTACATCAGTTTTTTGTTTCAGTTATTTTTTTTCTAACAAGCCCATATTTGCCATATATAATGATCACATTCATCATAGGGAATTTAGACCTGTACATAATGTATCTTAATTCTATTTTTCCCATTCCCCTCCCTTTCACCCCTCTTCCCCTCCACATTTAAAAAGCTTTATTTCCATATTTTTCACTCCATTGTTTTTTCTCTTTTTCCTTCCCTTCTCCCCCTTCCCTTCTTCCACTTTGAGCATGTTCTTCCTAGTTCCATTCCTATTCTCCATTTTGCTCCATATTAACCTTTTGGTTTCTCACACAAGAGAAATGATGTGATATTTATTTCACTAAATGATGCCTGATTAATTTCACTTAAAATTATCTTCTCATGGTACATCCATTTGCCTACAAATGATTCAGATTTATCTTTATGATGGAGTAGTGCTCCATTGTATATAAATACCACATTTTCTTTATCCATTCTTCTGTTAATGGGCATATGGGCTGTTTCCAGGATTTAGCTATTATAATGCTGTTATAAAAATGGGTATACAGCTGTGTGTGGTGGCTCATGCCTATAATCCCAGCCCTCAGGATGCTGAGGCAGGAGGATCATTGTGAGTTCAAGACCAGCCTGGGCTACAAAGTGAGCTCAAGGCCAGCCTGAACTGCATAGTGAGACCTTGTCTCAAAAAGAGAAAAAATAAAAATGGGTATGCAAACATCACTGTGATGTGATGCTTTTAACTCTTTCCAGAAGATACCTAGAAGGGGTACAGCTAGGTCAAATGGAACCTCTAGTTTTAGTCTTTTGAGTAATCTCCATACTGATTTCCATAGTGGTTGTACCAATTTCTATTCCCACCAACCATGGAGAAGGGTTCCTTTTTCCCCACAGTGTCACCAGTGTTTGTTATTGATTTCTTGGTGGTAGGCATACTTTCTGGAGTGTGATGGAATCTCAGTGTTCTTTTAATTTGCATTTGGCAAAAGACCAGTGATATTGAATATTTTTTCATGTATTTATTTGCTATTTGTACTTATTCATTTGAGAACTGTCTTTTTATTTCAGATGTCATTTTTGGATTGAGTTTTTAAATTTGGGGGGCCTCAGGTTTTTTTTTTAAGTTCTTTATGTATTCTAGATATTAGTCCTTTAGGAATAGCTGATAAAAATTTTGTGGGTTCTCTTAACTCTGTTGGTGGTTTCTTTTGCTGTGCAAATGCTTTTCAATACGATGTGATGCCAGTTGTTGATTCTTTGCAATATTTCCCCAGGCAATCAAGGTTTTATCCATAAAGTTTTTGCCTACAACTATGTCTTTAAGAGTTTTGCCTCTTCTGTCATCCAGCAGATTGTTTCTGTTATTATATTTAGATCTTTGATCCATTTCAATTTTAGCTTAGTGTGTGGTGAGAGATATGGGTCTAAGTTTAATCTTTGCTATATGGAAAGCCAGTTTTCCCAGCATAATGTATTAAAAGAGGCTATCTTTCTTTCAGTGAAGGGGTTTGGCCCCTTTGTGAAAGATAAGGTAGCTGAATGTGTTTGGAGTTATTTCTGGATCTTGTATTCTGTTGCATTGATCTTCAGGTCTGGTTTTTGCTGTGGTATGATATTTTTAATTCTTCTGAGAAAATATTCAGAAGGGGAATAGCTGAGTTAAGTGGGACTTCCAGTCCTAGTTTTGTGAGGAATCTCCAAATTGAGTAACTTATTGAGGATTGGACAGTGTAGCAAAATCAGTATGTTACTGAATGTGTTTTTGGTTGTGGCTGTTTCTTCCAGTCTGTTCCACTGATCCTCAGGTCTGTTTTTTAGCCAGTACCATACTGATTTTATCACAGTAGCTTTGTAGTATAATTTCAAGTCAGGAATTGTGATGCCTCCTGCCTTTCCTTTGTTTCCCAGGATTACTTTTGCTATTCTAGGCCTCTTCTGGTTCCAGATAAATTTTAGGAATGTTTTCTGTAGATCTGTGGGGTATACTAATGGTATTTTAATTGGGATTGCATTGAATCTCTACAACAATTTTGGGAGTATGACTATTTTCACAATGTTAGTTACAGGAATGCTATTTATTTTTGAGTGCTGACTTTGTTTCTTGCTACACTGTCCAATTTGGTTATTAATTCTAGAAGTCTTTTGGTGGAGTTTTTGGGGTCTTCTGTATAGAATATTATGCCATCTGTAAATAATGATAATTTAACTTCCTTTCCTATCTTTATTCCTTCTATTTCTTTCTCTGGTCTAATTACTCTAGCTAATGTTTCCAGAACTGTATTGAACAGGAGTGGTGATAGTGGACATCCTTTTCTTATTCCTGATTTTAGAGAAAAAGTTTTCAATTTTGTTTGTTTAGTATAATGTTGGTTGTTAGTTTGTCATAGGTGGCTTTTGTCAGATTGAGATTGAAGACCTTCTGTTCCACTTCTCTTTAGGATTTTGATTACAAATGGATATTGGACTTTGTTAAAAGCTTTTTCTGCAACTATTGAGGTGATGTGTAGTTTTTGTCTTTAGGACTGTTAACATATATTGATTTGTGTATGTTGAACCATCCCTGCTTCCCTGGGATTCATCCTGCTTGGTCATGGTATATAATCTTTTTGATAATTTACTGCATTCTCCTGTGAGTAACTTATTGAGGATTTTACCATCTATGTTCATTAAGGAGATTGGTCTGTAGCTCTCTTATTTAGTTGGCCCATTCTTTGGTTTTGGTAGCAGGGTAACGGTTGCTTCCAGGAATATGTTTGGGAGTATTGCTTCCATTTCAATTTCATTAAGCAGTTTGAGGAATAGTGGCATTAGATCTCCTTTAAAGTTCTAGTAGAATTTAGTAGTGAATCCATCAGGACCTGGGCTTTTCTTTGTTGGTACTTTTTTTATTATTACTTCTTTAATTTCATTTACTACTATCAGATTTTTCAGCGTTATCTTCTTGGTTCAGTTTTGGTAATTCATGTATGTCTAGATATCTGTCCATTTCTTCTGAGTTTTCTATCTCATTAGAGTACAGACTCTGAAAGTACGTACTGATAATTTTTGAATTTCTGCAGGATATGTTGTGATTTCACCCTTTTCATTTCTAACTCCATGGCTTTGTATCTTTTCCTTCTTTTTTTGATAAGTTTGGCCAAAGGTTTCCTTGTTTTATTTAATCTTTCAAAGAATCAGCTCAGTCCTTATGAGTTGCTTCTGCGAATAGCTAATCTTGTCCATTCTTGTTAGTTTCTTTTAGTTTGTTTCTCTGAGATTGCCATTTTGACTTTGTCATCAAAATTGGAGCCTTAGAAATACTAGAGATATATAGCCATTTATGTGTTGCTTACAGTATTATTGTGACATTAAATACATTATTAATGCCATAAATACTTTTGCTCTTTTAAAAATGCCTTAAAATTGAGCAAATATGGGGCGAAAAATTATTGCCAAAATATAACAAATATATTTAATATCACTTTTCTTGCAGCTTTCTCTATTAGAGCATTTTTATTCCCAGCCCTTAAGTGTTCTGTGCTGCAGTCTTCCAGAAGCCAAGAGAAGAATAAATTTTTTATCAGTTAACCAATGTGAAAACATCCGACGTCTTCCATCATTTAGGAGGTAACAAAAAAAACAAGTACATAATTAACACATACTAGCATTTGCAGAATAAAAGACTTTAGATCCAGTTGTGTTTGAAATGAAGGATGGGATAATTTTTTAAATTTTATTTATGGCAATATAAAACATTTATTTTTAATAGTGCAGTTTTGTTTAAAATTTGCTGTAAAGAAAATATTTTTACAAAGGGACATAATTTGCAAGTTCTCCAGTTATTTTAGAAATAACATTTTTTTTTCTGGGATATATGACCTTTGTTTAAATAAAAGTATTAAGTATAGATGATATTAGAAGTTGAAAATTACCATTAATCCAGGTCTATACCTTGAGTTTATTTTTGAGAAAGAAATGAAAAAAAACGTGGCCATCAATCTAGGTAGTAATTTTTCCCAATATATGCAAATACATAGCATGCTTAATATTCTTTTTTTGTGTGTCTGGAATGGAAAACTTTCAGGTACGTGGAAAAACAAGCTTCAGAGAAGCAAATTGCACTACTGACCAATGACAGATTTTTGAAGGTAGGAATGTGAATTTTTTGTTAGTTTGATTGTTGTTTTTCTCTTCATGAGAAAGGATATACTCATATGCATTCTGTTAAATACAAAATATATCTGTATATCCAAACATTTGTATTGTGAAGTACTAAGCCTTAATAGACATTTAGAATATGAATATTAAAGATGATTCAAAACCTTAACTCTAAAAGATAAGGCTCTCTTCATTTTTTTTATTAGTACATGTTTGTGATACATAATGATTACATTTGTCATAGGAAGTTAGTACGTGTACAAGCACATTAAAGACAATAAAATGCTCACTTTAGCAGCATATGTGCTAAAGACTTCGTAAGAAAAAATATTAGCAAGAACCCTAGATTTCTTTTTTGGTCTCTTTTGGAAGCACTTTTAAATCTTTATAGATCTGCTCTATGGATTTCTTTCCATTTAACAGTTCTGGAATCTTCAGGCAATCTCATTTTAATGTTCCTTTAAAGGCGGTCATAAATAAAAGCAGAGAAGTCAGGCAGCTTCGGCACCTATTTCTAAATGAGCATTGATCTGATTTGAAGATACGTTATTATATATTTATAATATAATGCCAGGATAGAAGTATCAAGTTTAGAAAGTTATAAGTTAGCCATACAACACAGAGAATATCAAAAGAAGATCTTTTTTTCTTTCTTGAATAGATAATACTTGGACATAGTACATAATTCAGAAAGCAAAGATAATGTTCAGAGAAAAGCTTCCCTTTTACCTCTCTTCTAAGTACCAGCTTCTCTTCCCTGGACACAGTCAGTATACCTAGATTTTAAGTATCACTCTAGAGTTTGTCTCAATATATGCAAGCAATTGCATATATTTTGGGGCTCTCTCCTTACAGAAGGTAAATGTGCTATCCTGCATCTTGTTTTGTCTTGTGCTTAAATCTTAACAGTTATCCATATTAGTACTAAAGAGTAGCATAATATGTATTCTGTTGAATGAGTGTATCTTCATTTTTATTCAGTGAATCTTTTGCTGATGGACATTTAGAAACATGTCTCATTTTTTTTTTATTCCTCTTGCCTAAGAAAAAAGCTATTAGAACATTGTAATAAAATTAGGAAGTGCTTGAAGGTAAGCCCTACTGCTTTGTGTAAATTTTGCTGATACATACAGCTTTCTTATTTATTTATTTACTTGGTAATGATGGGACTTAAGCCCAAGGCCTTACGTATGTTAGGCAAATACTTTACCCCTGATCATATCCTCAGCCATGTTTTCAAATTTTGAACAAAAAATATATTCTATGTAGTTCTAAATACCCATTAACCTACATTGTAAACATCTCAAAAAATTTTGCAAAAGGCCTCTGTTAAACACTATTTCCATTGCAATATCCACAGTGGGCCATAATAAAAAAGTCAACTTTAGATTGGGTTCAGTAATCATTTTAATAATCTCTAGCACCTTTACAGAGCAAAATAGAAAAAAACTAAGCAGGTTATTTCTGGGAGAAGAAATTTAAGAATCAGTGAGAATGGATATATTACTGTGTCTTTTTTTAAAGATTAACTAGATTAGTTCTCTTGAGTCAGCTAGTTGCCAAGTGTGTTTCTTGCTAGACCTTTCTATCATAGTATATTTTCAAAAACTACAATTTTAAAGCATTGAGATAATAATGGAACAGAATGTCTAATGTATTACAGAAATAGCCTGACATTTATACCTATTTTTCAGTGACTCTGTATATTTCCAAAGCATTTATTTATACTGTACTTGTTTTTTTGGACCATCATCCTGTTTGTTATTTCTTTGTTGTATTTAAAATATACAATGAAGGAATATGGAGATTTGTACTCTTGCCCAAAAATAATTATCCATAGGCAACCTGGTAAATTCAAAGGCCAGATGTTTATGGAAAAAATTAATAATGTGTGTCTGTTGATTTTGTAGTTTAGAATAAAAATATCTTTGAATATTTTATTGTCATTATAATGCTTCTTTTATAATTCTGTAAAAATTAATGATAATAATATGATACTATGTGATATAGGGCAAAACCTTGCTCTTGACCTTAGAAATCTTGCATTTGAACTCCAGCTACTTATTAGCTAGGTGCACTTTTAAAAAACACTTACCTCAATTAAGCCTCAATTTTCTTATCTATAAAGTAGGATAATTCCTAGCATGATTTCTTCATAGTGTTAGTGATAAAGTTTATTCAGAAAGTGAAAGTGAGCTGAAAACATGTAGCTATAAAATTTTTACGTGTGTAACTAATGCCACTATTACATATTTTTAACTACCATAAAAAGATGTCAATATGAATACATAATTTTCTGTACTTTATATTATACATATACTATATATAACATAATCTACCCAATACTCTATTATATAAATGTGCCTATGACTAGAATGTTTTATTTTGTATCCTTTTTTTTTTTTTTGTCTGTGCAGTTCAGGCTGGCCTTGAGCTTTGTAGTCTAGGCTGGTCTCGAACTCGAGGTGATCCTCCTACCTCAGCCTCCCGAGTGCTGGGATTATAGGCATGTGCCACCACGCCCAGCACCTGTATCCATTTTCTATGTGCACATTTCTAAGAGCTAAATCTCAAAAGATATATTCCAGAGAAATTTATACTTCTGTCTTGACTGTTCCTGTCCAAATAATCTGCTTTGCTTCCTTCCCTGGTGAGCTAAACCAGTAGTCCTCAAATTTAGTTTACATCAGGATCACACAGAGGTCTAGTTAAGACACAAGACTTTTGGGCTTCACACTCGAGTGTCTGCTTTCGTTGCCCTGGACTAGGGCCCAGCAATCTGCTTTTCTACACGGTTTCGGGTGATGGTGCTGCTCATCTGAAGACCATTCCTTGAGAATCACTGTGTAACTGGATTCAAGATGATAAGTCCTCCAACACCTCAAGATTATAGAACCATAAGTTTCATAAATAACTGCTTCAAAGCGTCATGGCAGATTTGTACGTGGTGAACTTCGTGTACTTTTCATTTTAAAAATTCAGTTGACTGAACCATGTATATTTATAGAAGATGCACTAGAAATTTTATACTGTATGGGGCTTTCAAAGGCCATGCATAACTGATGAAAATCACTAAAGATTCTGTGCAGTTTTGCATTTCTGAGTTATGCAGTGTAGCTGGGCAGAGTGGTCAGAAGGTATACGCTGACAAGTGATAACCAAGTTTTCCTAATTTAGACAGAATTGTTTGTACAAGCTTGCATTAATTTAAGCTCTTGATGAATCTGTAGCTTTCAAAGCCTATTGTAGGACGTTAACCATATAGTCCTTAAAGTTCCTGTTGGCTCTAACTTTGATGGTTTCATTTATTTGTCATTAAACAAAGTAGTAATTGTTTCTAACTGATTAAATCATTTTGATTCCCTAGTAAAAATTTACTTCAGTGCCGAATTAGGTTTGACACCAAATTTTGTGTAGTTGACGTTAAATTAGTTACTATTTAGACAAGTAAAGTTTTAGATGAAACAGGATGGGAGACTGTGTATATTTTTACCATGTTTCGCCCCATGGTGTTGCTTCGGTAATCCTTGCTTGTTTGCCTTATTTTTTTCTTAGAGTACTAAAACCTCTCATTTGTGAAAATAAATTTCGTGAAAAATAAGCTATCAGAAGTGTCTTATACAGAGCTTTCAAATTCACTATGATTTAAAAGATGCAATTTTACTACTGTTAGTGCCTGCAGTTTTATTTCAAGTCAGATATTAAAGAGAGCTTTGAAGAAGATTATATGGCCTCACATCATATTTGCATAATTGCCATCATTATCTGATAATAAAGAAAAACATTCTGCCTTGACACTGGGAAGGTTTTTTAAATTGTGAGAAACTCTTTTATACCTTATGTGGAAATGTTTTGTTGGGGGAGAGGCTGTTAACAGCTTTTCCCAATTAGTAGGTAGTTTTTATTCATTGTATCATTAGAAAACCTAGCCACCACATCTTTTTTTAAATCCCTAGATGAGAGTAACTTGCATGTCTAAAAGTGTCACAATTAGTATATGTAAATGGTATCTGGCATTAATATCCAGGCCTGACATTAAAACCCCATATACTTTGTAAAACACTTCATGGAGAATTAGTGCCAGCTGTCAAGAGGTGCCTGAGGTTCTTTATTAGTATTTGAGAAATCAGAAATAGGGTTTTCAAATATCATGGCAAGTTAAAAGCAAACACAAATTATGGAAAGCTTTTAGGAAACCACTTGGTATGAGGCAACTTCATCCTTTATACTCAGGCAGCTGTGTCGTGCCACCCTGTATGCTGCTGCTGCAGTCAAAGAAGAAAAGAGAAACAGCTCCTTCCTTCCCACAAAAATATATATGGTTTTGTCATTATATATTTACATGTACACACACACACACACACACACGAATATTTCTGAGCTGCTTAGAAAAGGAAATGAAGTCCTAGCACCATAGCTAATGCTGTGCTCTGCTAGCTCAGTTGTCTGCTTGACTAGTAATGATGTGTTATTCATGCTGATCCTGTTCTGTCAGAAGAAATTACATTATGTTCAGCATATTTAATGAATGAATAATTCCATATACTTTAAGGAAATCAGTTTTTATAATTATATTCAAATCTTCCTTATACTGTAGCTCTTTGGCATAGTTCCAACCCTTAAAGGATTAAACTTTTGCTAAGCAGCAAATGTATTCAATCCTTCGTTTATGACATAGGAAGTTTTATTATTCTGACTGGTTAATGTTTCAGTGTTTCTATGCCTGTTTGCCTAACCAGAGTTTAAATCCATACAAAATGGAAAATAAATCTTCAACTTCTTAGAACTGTAATAGATTACTATTAGATAACCTCTATCAGCACCCTCATTTTACAAATGAGCTGTAGCCAAGAGAAACAAGTGAGGTAGCTGAGATCACAGAGCAATTTAAAAGTAGAGAAAGGACTTCTTTTCACTATTTAGCATATCTGTCGTGGTGATTTGCGAACATAAGGCACAAAATTAGTTTAGGAATCTGGTGGGGTCGCCTTTCCCTTTTGCTAGCTGCTCTTACTTCTTTTGATAGACCTACAAGGCAGAAAGAGGAGAAAAAGTAGGAAGTACAAGAAAGAAAGAAGACGCAGTGTACCACACATGACTAAATGAGCTACCTGTTGGAAAGCGTTTAAAAATAAATAAATGAACTAGGAGACAGCTACTGTGTCAGGAATTGGCAGTTTAAACCCGAACATGTCATCACACTCTCTTCTGATCTAAACTACCCGGGGAGGCGTGCAGGGAGCGAAAGGCAGACAGGAGAAAACTAGCGCTCACCCCATCTAAGAGGGCGAAGAAGGCCGTGGCTTAGCGCCCTCAGATATCTGTGATAGACTAAGTCAGGTCTGGCAAACATGCCCAGCCAACATTTCTCAGTAAGAAAAGTAAGGCTTACTTACAGCAAGATGATAAATGAGAAAATGTATTTTTAGCTCTTATCTCTTAATTCCAAAATTCAGCATAATGTGTTCTACCAGCTTTTAAAGATCAGTGAATTGACTGAAGAGATACAAAAATTTTAAGAATTTTGCAGTTGTCTTCACATGCTTTCTTTAAATCTTCTTGAGGTTACTCTTTACCCCAGCCATATCATTCCAGACACAAAAGTGGCAAATGCTTGAAAATTAGAGAAGTAAATGCAAAAACGAAGTATCACAGCAAATGTAATTCTCTCTAATTGTTTTTTCTATCCATGGGTACTTAAGTTTTATGTACATCTTGGCTTCTCCAAAGAAAGTGATAAGGGCCCTATCAAAAGTTCCAAGTAGTGATCAGAAAGGATCATGATGTTAAAAAAATTGATTTAAATGTGTCACAAAAACACATGGCTGTTAATCCCACTCAGAATACGCTTTACTTTGAATGTGCTTATCTCATAGTTCTTGATACTTTCTGAAGCAATTCTCAAAGTTCTCTTTCATGAGTAGTTCTACAGAGTGTGATAAAAAATGCAGTGAATGCTGCTGCTGCATGATATCCAGTGGGAAAATTCATAAAAATATTACCGTGTGTTCTCATCTACCTAATTCACCAGATCTGTGAACACGTGACTCCTGGCTCTTTCCCAGTCAGAATAACCTGGAAAGTAAACATTTTCAATAGATTCAGGACATCAAGGCAGCTATGACAGTGCAACTAAAGATTCAATACAGGACTTCTAAAACTGGTTCAGAAAGTGGCAAGAATAAAGCCGGGCATGGTGGCCCATGCCTGTAATCCCAGCACTCAGGAGGCTGAGGCAGGAGGACTGTTTTGTGTTCAAGGCTAGCCTGGGCTACAAAGTGAGCTCAAGGCCATCCTGCAATGCACAGTGCATAGCAAGACCCTGTCTCAAAAAGATTTTTAAAAAAGCACAGGGTGCAGGGGGGAGACAAGAATAATGGGATAAGTGTTCCCGAATCAAGGTGAAGTGCTTTGAGGAAGATTAATGGCAATATATCTTTTACTGTAGCATTCAGCTCATAAATGACTTAATGTAGGAATCATTTTTGAGTGACAGGATTGATGAGGATAGAGTTGACAGACTTAAGAGCGCATTTTACACTTAAGTGGCAATTCACAGCCTCGTGTGTTTTCTAGCTCAATATCACTTTTTTAAAAAGTCAACTTTTCCAAGCTGAGGAATGTTACATTATAAATTCAGATTCTTGTCTTTATTTGAAAAGTCAGAAGTGTTCAAATGTAGGTCACATCCAGCAAGACAAGTGGTTGCTGTCCTGTAGACTGAATAAATAGTGGCTGTCATTCATGAATATACTTCTTCATGCAGCAGATATTTTTTGAGAACCTATTCTGTGTCCATTATTAATTTAGGTGCTACAGTAAGAAAACAGAGATAAAACAGATAGAGTACCAGCTTCGTGCAGTTTGCGTTCTACCAAGAAGACAGACAAGATAAATAAGTAAAACCTCTACTCTAGTGTACATGCCAACGGTGAAATAGAGACAGGGAATATGAAGTTATTGTGCATAGGGAGCAAAATTGAAATTTTGGATAAAGGCCGCACTGTGGTGAATTATGAGTTAAGATCTAAAAGAGTAGAGCTTGTCTTGCAAGAATTTGGAGGATAAAAACTCTTAAGACATTCAAACGGAAAGGATCTGAAGTTGGAGTGCCATATGCGAGGTAAAGGAAGAAGGCTATTGTGTATTCACTGTTTCTTACAGCAGAGAGACCTGTGTAACTCCTATAACTGTGTCAAAAGTCAGTGAAGACCAAGTAGTCTTCATGTTTCAGTAATAGAGAAAAGTGAACAGGTATGGTGATGCATACCTGTAATTCAAGCATTTGGGAAGCTGGAGCAGGAGGATCACTGCAAGTTTGAGGCCAGCCTGTGCCGCATAATGACTTCAAGGCCAACCTGAACTACATAGTGAGACCTTGTCTCAAAACCACCCCCTCCCAAAAAAGTGTATCTATGTTAACAAGAATCACCTCATAGTTATGAAATGAAGCAGCAGCCACTATGACTAGTATACAGAAAAGATGACCGAGAAAAAATTTAATGAATAGAAAGCAAGATTAATGTCTTAACAGGCTTTGTGTTTGCATGTGTATAGTGTAGTGCTGCTATAGCACATTTAATGAAAAATTTTTCTTGTATTAAAACTTGTAAAGTAAGGGGCTGGAGATTTAGCTCAGAGGCAGAGCACCTGCCTGGCAAGCGTGAGGTCATGAGGTTGATTCCTGGTACCGGAAAATAAAACAAAACAAAAAAAAACTTGTAAAAGAATATGCATAAAATGCATTAGAAATTGCCCTGGCTTTGGTAGGTGTATATCCATTATTAACATAGGTGCTAATGTAAAAATAAACAAAACAGACAAAACCGTAAGACAGAGAACTTAGAGGACTAGTTCCATGAAAAAGTTCATCATTTCTAATGTTTTCTGTTACAGCCAATAAGAGCCAAGCTATAACAGGAATATTTGTCAGGTTATGAAGTCAGTACATCAGACAAACTGGGATGGTAACGGTTACTTTGAAAAATCTACTATTAGAAAGGTGCAACAGACTTTCCCTCAGTAGTCCAGCAGAGTTAGGTTTTTCCTCCAATACTGCAAACAGGCTTCCCTTTTCTATTTGAGCATTAGACGAAACATAGTCTGCTCTGTTTTACGGGGAAAAAAAACCGGAAATATTTTTTAAACACTTGAGCTTCATTCAACACAGAGTGCTATCACACAAAGGAATAAAAATACCTGAGAAAAGCATGTTCAGGTCCTCATCTCACTCTCCCCAGGTCATATTTCCTTGCGTATACAACATTGCCTTGTACCTTTTTTTGTTCACCTCATCCAAGTAAATTCAATGACCGTATTCAAGTCTGTTGCATCGTCCAAGTACTTGTACATATATTTACTCCGCAAAGCAAGAGAAAGGAGGTAGAACAAAAATAGTGTAAGGAATGATTATCAGTCAGTAATAGAGCCTTTTCCTTCAGAATGCTCCCTACCTTACTTAAAATTTATTTTAGCGTACAATAATACACAGCATACAATTAATAGCTTTTTAGAATTTCGTGTTTTAGTTTACAGTAAAAAATAGGATAAAAGTACTCTGTGATTATGGCTGCTTTTGTTGAATCCTAGACTTTTATTTTGTTGTTGTTGTTGTTGTGTGTTTTTGGTTTTTGGGTTGTTTTTTTTTTTTTTTCTGGTACCGGGAATCAAACTCATGACCTCATGCTTGCCAGGCAGGAGCTGTGCGGCTGAGCTAAATCCCCAGCCCTGAAACCTAGACTTTTAAGAAATAATAATTAACTTGAACAATGGGAGGAAAGTCATCGGGGTCCCAAGAGCTTTTCTTTCATTTGTGCTTTCAATAATGACCCAAACTTTGTTGACCAAAGCATTTATTTCTAAGTGAGTTAGTATTTAGAAAAAATATATCAGATTTGCTTTAGTTTATTGATAAATGAAGTGTTATTTTCTGCATGGTTGGTCACTAAAAATAATCTGCAAGAAAGACACAGCTTAGTGCAGTGATGGTGCACTTCCAGAGGTGTCAGTGATAACAAACAGCCTGCGGCAGCATGCATACCATACTACCTCTTCCACTGGCCTGGTAATTAAAGTCCATATTTGACTTCTTAGAGGAGAAAACAACGTGAGGACCATGTTACAGATCATAATCCTCTGAAGATGTTACAGGAGTAAGCAGTTATAAAAGAACTGAGTCCTGGAAAATGCTTTATTTTCTAAACAATTTCAGAACACTATATAAAGCGTACTCCCCTCCCCACTGGCCTTTTGAAACTGATTTGCAAGATTAGTTAACCAAGGTTTTTTTAAGACACTATGCCTCATACTTACTGGATTATACATTATTGTTTGTTGTCCATAGATTTCTCCTTTTCCTATTTCTTTCCCAAGTAGTAAACTGAGTAAAACCAGTATCAGAGAGTCTCAGTGAGAGGTAGGGATTTATGAGCATCAGCTGTGTTTCTTCCAGTTTCCTTTTCCCCCTCCAGACACACTCATGCAGTACTTTGGGAAATCATAAGCAGACCTTCAGCAACTGTTGATTATATTGGTACAGTTCGCTCTGGGAGCTCCTCTCCCCTCTGATGCCAGTAAGGCGGAGGACAGTGGGCCTTCCCTCCCTGGGGCGTACATCAGGTGATCAACACAGGCAGGCACATGATGAGCTACTCTCTTGCACACTTGTAGTTTTGGGGTCAAGATATTATAGCAGTGCTAGAGGTATCGAAGGAGATTAAATTACAGTAAAAATACCAGTGCATACAAAATATCACGAGACTTGATACTAAATTTAAAATATAGCCAGTCTTTATGCTGGTATATTTCAAATTCTTATGAATTAAGGAGATTAGCTGATAGCAGTGAATCCTTTTGTCAGTTTCTTAGAAATTAGGCATAGATCAGTAAAGTAGATTTTATTATATTCCTTTACTGTCTTGCACACTAACAGAACAGTCTGTCGTTTTTAGGAGGAAACACAATCACTACTAGAGGACCTATATATCTACCATGTGAATTACTTCCTGGTTTTGAGATGTCTTCATAATTTCACCTCTTCTCTTCCCAAATACCCACTGGGCCGACAGGTAAATAAAACGTTCTCATTTGGAATCTACAAATTAGTAAGGAGAGTAGTACTTTCTGGCTTTGATTTCTGCAACAGTCAGGCATTAGAATTTGAAATGGATCCAGTTGTTACAATAAGAGAACAATCCATTCCAGCTAGATACAGTACTGGTAATTGAAACAGTCTATTTTGTTCTGATGGTCACAGCTAGAAATAGCTACATGAATTCCAGTGCTGTTTTCCCCCCTACGATGTATTTATACTAAGGCACTTAAGCCTTTCTTGTTAAGAGAGCCAGTTTCCTATTCTTAGTGATCTGGAAAAAGGAATCTGCTTGAGAATGCTTAATGGTTAAGTTTGCATCACACCGAGAATTAAAGGAGTCATGCTCAGCTCACTTCAGGAACCATCTGTAGAGTAAATGATAATGGAAAAATCCCTAATTTTCAGATCCTTACCTGAGAGTCTTAGAGAACAGATATATGTAACAACTATTTCTGAGGTGATATCTGCCATTGAATATTCAATGAGCACTTCCACCATGTTTAGCATTTTCTTGTTACAGAGTGGCTGGTGATACCAGTTAATCTATCAGTTAATCCCACTATAGTTTCATTTTACTTTTATGTAAGTCATATACTTCCAGCATCTGATCTGTGTGATACATTTCAAGCCCGCTGTCATCTAAAGAAAATGGTACTGATCTTTTTTTTGTTTTGCTTTTATTATTATTGTTGTTTTGTTTCTGGAGAGTCTCACTGTGTAGTTCAGGCTGACCTTAAACTCACTATGCAGCCCCGCTGCCCTCGAACTTTCAGTGCTCCTCCTGCCTCAGCCTCCGGAGTGCTGGGATTACAGGTGTGCACCACCACGGACAGCTGGTTGTTTTTAATAGCATTGAATTTGCAGGTGTTGACCATACATGGTTTTGCCAATTTAGTGTTTCATTTTTGTTTCTCACAAGTGTTGTTCATTTACAGATCAGAGAGTTGTACTGCACATGTTTAGAAAAGAACATATGGGAGTCAGAGGAGTATGCATCAGCCTTGCAGCTGCTGAGGTAATTTTTTCATTTTGTTTTCCTTTTTTGTGCGCTCTCAGTCTGCCAATAACACCTTCCTCCAGAACTCTACTTGCCAAAAAGTTTCATAAGTAGCCATATTGTGTCTTAATAATATTGTGTATATCTTGAATTTATGCCTATAGCTTATTGTGTTTTTAATGTAGCAGCCATCCATTCCTTTGCTGCTCTTACCTTGTTTTGAACTTAGGGTTCTTAAAGGAAAGTCTGTGATTATTTGGTCAAATATTGATACTATAAGAAGAGAGCTTAGATACAGATCATTTGAATCCAGTCAGTTTGACATAATGTCAGGGGAAGTAAGTCAGGGAGGGCAGGTTTACCACATCCCAAATTTGATTGGGTCCAGGCTTACATTTCCTTGGAAGGCAATAACTAACTCTGATCAGAAGCAGTAGGAAATCAGCAGTGGCCTTGTTACCTTACTCCACCTAAGTCAGCTCTGTGCACATTAATAGTGAATAATTCAGGGGCTGGGGATTTAGCTCAGCGGCACAGCGCCTGCCTGGCAAGCACGAGGTTGTGAGTTCGATTCCCGGTACCGGAAAAAAACAAAACAAAACAAAAAAACAATGGATACTTCATAAATTATTTATCTCATAGAAATACCTTCTGTTATTATAAAACATTAAAAATTACTATGCCTGAGAATCTTTTGAAGTTATAATCATTTATGCCCTTGGCTTTACTTTTTATTTAGGTGTATGATAACTTTTTAGTCTTCCATGAAAACAATGACCACTGGAATAGTGAGAAAGAAAAATCAAGTGTGAGCTAAGTTTTCACATTCAGTCTTATAATTTTCCTTGGTGGATATAAATGCTTATGTGAAAATATAACAACTGAAAACGGGTTACTTTTTAGGTCCTGCTTCTTCTGGGTCCACAAGGAAAGAACAGATGGCCACAGTAGGAGGCAATTCACACTGAAAGCACTGAAAGTCCAAAATTAACAGTACAACTATTAGTGCTCTGTCAGGTGCACTGTAAGACAAGAAACTAATTTCATGCTATCTGGGAAACAACTTCCATGGAAAGTCAAATGCCACTAAAAAACTGTGTTTTATTCTTTTTTTCTTAAACTCAATGAAGGATTTCTATATATTTATAAACTGGAGCTAGAATAGTTCTCTTTTGCCTTTTATTCAAGTAAAACTCCCCATCTTAAATACCCATTTGATTTTTCCTGGGGTTTTCTGTTTTAATTTCACGATGTGATTATCTTCCTTCTTCAGTTATGTATTCCCAGATTCCTAGATTCTTTGTCCTGGAGGAACCTGTTTCCTCTGAACCTCTCTGTCACTGCTGTTCTTGGAGTACAGTCAAGGTCAAGAATGCCAATTCCAAACTAGGAGGAAGAAACATAGACGATAATAGTAATGGTGCCAGCAGTTACCACCACTGATTGAAGAATAGTGGATTTTTTGTTTTGTTCTGTTTTAATTTTAAAGAGTAAAAGAAGGACAGGGGCCAGGGATATAGCGCAGTGGCACAAGCACCTGCCTGGCAAGCGCAAGTCCCAAGTTCAATTCCTGGTACAAAAAAAAAAAAAAGAGTAAAAGAAGGGTAACATAATAATGGGGGGGGGCTTACCAAATTACAGACAAAGTGGTAGGAAATTATCAATGGTTATTGTTTTACATATTGTTATCTATAAGATAGTTTCTTAGGAAAACATATAGACAAATAATAGTGAGTTACAGACAAAAGAGGTAGGAGATTATCAATAGTTGTACTATACTTTGGTATCTTCAAAGTGGCTTCTAAAGAAAATAAATAGAGCTATACATGAGTGGCCTATTGAATAATCATTATTCTCAATAGTTGTTGTAGGAAACCCATAATAATAAACATACATCCATTTACGAAATAGGATAGGAACAATACAAACATTACAGAGTTATGATAGATTAGTAGGAAAGTAACAATGACTGCTGTAATACATGGTGGTATCTTCAAAGTGGTTTCTCAGGAAGACAGAGATACACAAGAAGGATCTAACAAGTAGTTACACCCTAAGGGTTGTCAAAAATAGCATATTACCTCCTCACCAGTGACTCCTGTCACTGAGGTGTGACAGCTGGAAGGAAGGCCAGGATTGAAAAGAAGGACCGAGAGACTTGCACCTGTGTCTAGCAACAGGCTGCTTTCTTTTTCCTCCATAGTCATAATTACCCAGGGTTCCTCCATGGAGATGACAGTCTGGCCAGAGGGAGAAGGCAGAGTATGCCCCAGGCCCCCTCATTCCTGTTGGACTCACTGATAAGATGGATCTGAGCTCTGGGGCCTCCACTTCAGAGGGCAGACCGATCTCCAGTGGTCACCTTTGCATTCAGGGCATGGCTCAGGGGGCCTCTTAGGGTGGTTCCTTTTGAAGTGGCCTGGCTTTTGACAGCGGTAGCAGATGAATGCAGTCATTGAGTTCTTCTTGAGGCCCCAGGAATCAGACTTGGGGTCTGTTTCTCTTAGTGCTACAGCAAAAGCAGCTGCTTATTCTCGGTCTCTTTGTTTTCTCTCCTTGGCCTCCTCCTCATCAAGGCTATAGAATACTGAGGAGGCAATTCTTACTAACATCTCAAGTGAGCCATCTGGGGCGAAAGCCATTCTTTGTAGCGTTTTCTCTCCAGCCTCCCATCACACTGGGATCCCACACCCAGTTAGTGTTCTCTCCCCAACTGTCAGCACAGGCAGCAGGAATCTTGCTGCAGACCTCTCTGGCGCTCCATGCGCTCCTCCTCAGCCTGTACTGTCAAGGGAAGAGTGGCTTCCAGGGGATCTCCCCAGATATTGTGCAAGGTCCTCCTGGTTTCCAGCTTCTGAACGGTTCTCCTGACCCTAGTCCACAGGACCTCTGACTCCTCGGGCTTAGTCTGCATTCTCATGTTCTCCGAGTCCTTGTTCAGCAGCTGCTCCTCCGCTGGCTCTGGACCTTTCTGGCTCTCAACGGCAGGAGCAAGAGTGACCCGTTGTTGGCATATATTCTCAGGGGTTTCTCCATGTTTGAATGATTCACACACGTCCTTGGGTGGGCCTTCGCAGCTGGTGCATGGTGGGCCAATTGTGTCATTGTTTCTCTGTGCCATGGTAGTTCTCAATTGAGCGGCAGCGGCTGTCTTGAGGGCCGGCGTGTGCCAGCGCCCACTGCTGCACAGCTTCCCGCGCCGGGGGCCCTCCTCCCAGGCGCCTGTGAGGCAGGGAGCCAGTGTGAAGGCCAGTGCTCCCCGCCGCACAGCTTTTCGGGCACCGGGGGCCCTCTTTCCGGGTGCCTGCGAGGCTGGGGGCCGGCCCGAGGGGTGGTGCTACCAGCTGCGCAGCTTCCTGGATGCTGGGAGCCTTCCTCCCGGGCGCCTGCAAGGCACTCCCCACCACGCGGATTCCCAGG